GATGAAAAACCCTCCTGCCACTTCAGGATCCCTGAACCCTAAGAAGTCTAAACCCGTGCAACCAAACCCGCTAAGATGTCAAGTCCTTCCGCAGGCCGACGGCACTCGAACACCTGACTCAGAGAGGGGAAGAGGGTTGGGTAGGGTTGAAGGTAAGATACAGGGCTCGGGCTTTGCGATGTCCACGCCAGCTGCTCGGCTCAAAGCCGTTTCCATCTCTGCAACAAAAAAGATTCCCGACTCTGCTTTTCCGACTGCCTTTTTCCCACATTGCCGCAGCACAAATAAACTCATGTCATCTTCCCTTCGAACTGAGTACATGCCGTCGAGTCCTCTAGCCTGCTCCATACATCATTATGGAAGTTGCCACCAAGTCCACAAGAGAGATGACATGTACCACGCCTGCCGAGGAGACGAGAGACCAAACGCCAGGCATCGCAGCAACTGCAGGGGTCAAGCAACTAGATGCCGCATGAACGCCACTCTTGTACAGCCTTGTGGCGGGGTGCCTGGGTGATGTGAAGCCGGCCCGGGTGTTGCGGACGTAGGAAATTTCTGCAGTAAGGTGCCCCGACCAGCCGACAAATCCAATGTGTGACATGTTTGTTTACTTGTAGTTTTTTCTTGACTGCTCTTTTGTGTTGATCTCCTTTTACTTAGGCAGTGCAGTAGAGGGTCCTGGTATGCAAAGGATATCCCGAGACCCATATGGGTTGTCCTAAAATGATAGGGTCCCAGGGTGCCCTGATGAAGTCCTGTCAACGTTTCAAGGATTCCTCCAAAACCTTTCAACAAAAGAGTTTTCGGGGGAGTACCTCGATGCCCCAGGCTACCGTGAGAAGCGTGGCTGCGTAGCGGCCTGGCCACAGATGACGGTTTGCATGCAATGCAGGCGAAAAGCGGCAGCGAAGGACAAGCGGCGATGGTATGTACAAAAGCAGGGGTACAGTGATAGAGACAAAGAGCAACGCAAGAACGTCTGGGCACAGTACAGTCAGTACCTATGGAGGCTGCGAAGACTTCCCGTCTGCTGAATTCTTACCCACTTCGGTTGTCCTGGCCGGCCAGAGCTCTCCAGGGCATTCAGGGCAGTCAACACGACACCATGGGTGAGATCGGCCTCCTTGCAGACAGGCTGAACTGTTGTTAGGAAATTGGTTTGGCACTTGGAGGGCCGTTTTGAGATCCACGACTACAACACAGACATGGGAATTGAGTCATGTATGGGTATATATATATATATACATACATACACATGAGTCATGGCTTCCTCCCACCCCCGCCCCCTCTGCCCTGCGCCCGAGTCTCCAGAAACCAGCCAACATCAGCAACCTCCGGGAAGGCCATCAGCGCGTCCTGTCCGCAGTGTGGTTCTTTGGGTGAAGACTGCACTTGCCCGTACCAGGACGGGCGATTATACCCTAGAACCCCTTAAGAAACGGCCCGATATAGGGTTGACTATGGGGAATCTAGGGGCCGAATGGCCCCTCCTGGTACACGAACATGGCACATGGAATGCCTTCCATCGATGCAAGAAAACCAAGAAGCCAGATGTACGGAGGGCAGGTGCCTTCCAGCCGAAGAGTGGCACGCATGCCTTCAGGTAAGCGGCTAATAATAATAGTATTTATACTAATAATAATCATCATAATAATAATAAAGCCGAATGCTGCTTCATTTTCTGCAACAGCGCGGTTGAACTGACTATGTATATCAGGTCGACCTCGCGCATGTAGAGCCAGCAGCGCTGCGAAACTGCCTTCGCCCCCCGGCCTTTCCAGCTGTGCAGCGTGGCGAAAGGCAGTCGATGTCCAGGGAATCGGTCGCCAGCGCCCTGTCATTGAGTGCAAGCAGCTGTGTGGACACATACTGACGCACACACTCACACACAAACACATGGCTTCACGTTGCTCCGTGGCGAGGGCAGTGGGTGCATGGTCTTCAGGGTTTGTGAACATTGGAGACATTCTTTTGACAGGCTCGCACTGCATAGCTTCTCGGAAACCGTAAGCTGCTCGGAATATACTGCCACCACTTAAGAGCAGCTTGACAGATGTCATTGTAAGTGTAGACAGAGACGATTGTCTTCAAGGAGAAACTTACTTTGATATATGCATGCATGTGAGTGTCGGTAGGTAAACAGATATACGGACAGATCGATAGATAGATGAGCACCTGCGACTAACTTACTTTGATCTATGTATGAATGTGTGTAGATCTATGACCAGATCGATAGATAGATGAGCATGCGTGCACACAGTCACGCAGGTGTGGATGCGAGGCTGCGTTCATGTGCATCAGCAAATGTTTGGCATATGGTCAGCTCTCAAAATCAGGGTCCCTTTTTTGGGTACCCTAAATATGAGAGGCCGCCTTATAATAAGGACCCAAAGAAGGACCATAATTTACGGAAATCAATAAATGTATCCGCAAATAGAGAAAGATGACCTATAATCAAGTTGAAAGATTGGCAGTGATCCCCTGTGTGGCCTGGCCCTGAACCTACAAAAAATGCTCAACCGTGGAACCTTCCACCCCCAAGAACCCTAATAAGGCAAAAAGCACCGAAAACCCTTAAACCACAAACCCGGAAGAGCCCCCAACACCCCAAACCCCTAAACCCCAAAGCCGAGACCCGGAACAAAAAAAAAACCCAAAATATCCTTAAGATCCGCCCCTCGTCTGCGACGTCCTAAACCCGACAATTAAAAACCCGAAGCCCCCGACACCCAAAACTCCACCAACAGAACCCCGAAACCCCTAAGACCACAAAAACTCCTAACAACCCTAAACCCGTAACCCCAAACCCGGAAAGAAAGAACAAAAAACCAAGACCCCACAAAAACATCCCAAACATCCGCCCGTAAGCCTGCGCCGAGCCCATGGTCCGGCAGCGCGGCCCCTGAGCGGAGTGCAGCCGCAGCTCGCCAGGCGCAGGGCCAAGCCCACCTAAGAAGCCATGAGAGCCCGGGACTCGACATCAATATGATTCATGTCCAGGGCGAGAACGTGGGAGTTTTGGTTGCTGCCCGAAGGGGATCTGGTGGCTTCTGGGCCTTCTTGGGTCCGAGGCCTGGGCCGGATGCTCCTAAACTTCAGGAGATCGATAGCCCTCCCCAAACCCTAAACTCTAAACCCTAACCCCTAAACCCTAAGCCCTAAACCCCCAAACCCCTAAACCCCTAAACCCTAAACCCTAGACCCTAAACCCCTAAACCTAAACCGTAAGCCTAAATGGGCTTGTCTGAGTCACCGGACCGGTGCCGCGCGCAGCCACTTGCGTCCCAGACGGGCCAGGGCATCCACCGGTCCTCTGTCTTGAAGGGAGTGTACTTGGAGGTTTAGGGTTTAGGGTTTAGGGTTTAGGGTTTAGGGTTTAGGGTTTAGGGTTTAGGGTTTAGGGTTTAGGGTTTAGGGTTTAGGGTTTAGGGTTTAGGGTTTAGGGTTTAGGGTTTAGGGGTACCCTTACTTGGAGGTTCAGGGTACTTATAACCCCAATTCTAACTGCACTTCTAAGCCCCCTAAGTGCCCTAAGTAGGTTAAGTAGAAATATAGCTGGGGTTACAAGTACCCATGGGGTCCATGTACCTTATTATTGTATACTTGGGCCCCAAGTCGCTATGTAGGAGGTACTTGAAGGCCCCAGTGTTAGGCTCTGCATCTCAAGCTGTCGTGCCAGCTGGCAAGCTGGCAATGAGCAATCAGTAACACGTAGCGACCAAGAGCGGAAAAAACCCCCGCATCGGCTGCAACCACGGCCTTGCACGGGCTTTGCGACGATGAGATGGGCCGAGAGAAGGAACATCAAGTGCGTGCTGACCTCCACATGAGCAAAGGCCGGTCAGCAGATCTTTTTTTGGAGAACATGGAAGCATCATGGCGACGCATACGGGCCTAGTCTGGGTCAAGGCATGGCAGAACCGAAAGCTTGCAGTAGAGCCTTGTGGGGGGCAACTGCTGCCGAGCAGCGTAGCCCAGCACGGTGTCCGCATCGCGCCACAAACCTGCACGAGCGATTAGCTCTATAGACCCGAATCCAAACACCCCTCGACAGCCCGAAATTAGCAAATCAACTGCAGACCCGAAAACCCAAAAGGCTTCTGAGCCTGGAGGCGGGCCCGGTGCGCAAAACGCATCAAGGCTCAGGAGCACGTGGATGAAGCCCAGGAGGGCCAAGCAGAGACCTTGGTGGGAGGCGGGGGGGGGGGCGAATCTGGGGCTCTAAGAGGCTCCGCTAGTGTGGAGGAACGTGAAAGGGCTTTTTGTGGGTCCTAGGGCTGAGAGTTTCGAGAGTTCTTAGGGTTTGGTCTTAGCTTTGGTTTTGGGGCAAGGTTTTGGGACCAGAGGGTCTCCACCACCACAATGGTGCTTTTGTCGCTCTGCACATCGTGACGCGCTCCAGCTCCATGATGTGAACGTTCAGTACCAAAGCAGGATGCCGGGTTTAGGGTTTAGGGTTTAGGGTTTAGAAAACAACAAAGATGGGCTTTTGGGGGGGAATCTTGTGCCATGAGGCGCATGGCGACCACACGGCTGCGGCAGAGTGAAGGGCTCAGCGCCTTGCGCATGAACTTCACACGCAAGGCAGTGAAGCGTGGGAAGAAGAGTTGAGGTAACAGAGGTAGCCTGCATAATTGTGTGGCATCACAGAGCCATTGTCAAGTAAGACTTCCTAGGGCACCCTGCAAGTATTCTTGCACGTCCACATGACACAACCCTCTCTTTGCAGGTTGGGGCGTGTGCAACAAGCTGCAGTTTCCTCTCTAAGATTCTGCGTTGCAACACCCCAGCGGACGTGGGCCTCAAGCGGGGAGCAGGCCTTCAGGCTTTCTATAGTGAGGCCTCAGAAGGTGCACGTCGCACTTCGCAGCTCTGAGCACTTCAGTGATCGCCTAGTCCTGGCATCACCCTCAAGTCCCGTGCTGCCAAGCAGCTCCGCAACCCAAGTCGCATGGAGACCTCTGCCACCACACCCACCTCATAGGCAATGGGAGCCACTTGGCTTCTGGACACACATGTCGGGATTTCGTAATCCGAGTGTCGGGGCATAGGGCTTGGGGATTCGAATGCCTTAGCTCAGGACTTGAGTGTTGTGGGCTTTAGATGAAGATCCGAAACGCTTTCTTCCAAGGCCTTGAGGTGTCAATGTACACTGGCCGAGTGTCCAGGCCAGGAACCAGCAGGGCCAACACCGTTAGGTCAAGAGTCGGCGGCCAGGCACCTCCGACAGCCCACTTCCCCCCAAAAAGGACTCAAAAAAGGTTTCCGTGGGCAGCTTTCTCTCCAAAAAAAGACCCGTCTAAACGACATGGACCATTTTCTGGTTCCTGAAACACAGCACCATGAATGCACTTACTTGTCTACGCCTGCAACAGACCCACCTGGCAACGAAGTTGGGCGAAGGTCTGCGCGCCGTAGAGATGCGCTGGCCTCATCATGCCGAAAGATCAACCCTAAACCCTAAACCCTATAAACCCTAAACCTCAAGGACACGCTGGAGCTTCAGCTTTAGCTCCCCAAGGTCTGATCCTTGCGGGACGTTCGAAGCCAGAAATTTGGGCTCCTATTTCGGAGCCTTGGCACCCGGCACCAAGGGGAAACCCTAAACCTCAAAACAGCAAAACCCTAAACCCCAAACCCCAAACCCTAAACCCTAAACTCGAACCCCTAAACCCTAAACCCCAAACCCCAAACCTTAAACCCCAACCCCCAACCCCCAACCCCCAAACCCTAAACCCTAAACCCTAAACCCTAAACCCTAAACCCTAAACCCTAAACCCTAAACCCTAAACCCCAAGCCCTAAACCCCAAACCCTACACCCCAACCCCTAAACCCTAAACCCCAAACAGCAAAACCCCAAACCCCAAACCCTAAACCCCAAACCCTACACCCCAACCCATAAACCCCAAACCCTAAACCCCAAACCCCAACCCCTAAACCCCAAACCCAAAACCCCAAACCCTAAACCCCAACCCCTAAACCCTAAACCCCAAACCCTAAAGCCCAAACCCCAAACCCTAAACCCCTACACCCCAACCCCTAAACCCCAAACCCCAACCCTAAACTAAACCCTAAACCCCAAGCCCTAAACCCCAAACCCTAGCACCCGAAACCCCTAAACCCAACCCCTAAACCCCTAAACCCCTAAACCCCTAACCCCAAACCCCTAAACCCCTAAAAACCTCCCCTAAACCCTAAACCCCCTAAACCCCGAACCCCTAAAGCCGCCTAACCCCTAAACCCCGAAACCCCTAAACCACTAAACCCCTAAACCCCTACCCCCTAAACCCCTAAACCGCTAAACCCGTACCCCTAAACCCCTAAACCCCTTAAACAACCCCTAAAAAACCCCAAACCCCAAACCCCAAACCCTCAACCCCAACCCCTAAACCCCTAAACCCCTAAACCCCTAAACCCCTAAACCTCGAACGCCCAAACCCCACCCTAAACCCCAAACCCTAAACCCAAATCCCTAAAACCCCAAACCCTAACACCCCAACCCCTAACAAACGCCAAACCCCAAACCCTAAACTAACCCTAAACCACCCCTAAACCCCAAACCCCAAACCCCAAGCCCTACACCCCTAAACCCCAACGCCTAAGGGGGCCCCTAAACGCCCTAAGAACCCCTAAAAACCCCTAAAAACCCCTAAACCCCTAAACCCGCTACACCCCCTAACCCCAAACCCCAAACCCTCCAAACCCCAAACCCAAACCCTAAACCCCAAACCCCAAAACCCCCAAACCCTAAACCCTACAAACCCAACCCCTAAAAACCCCAAACCCCAAACCCTAAACTAAACCCTAAACCCCAAACCCTACACCCCAACCCCTAAACCCCTAAACCCCAAACCCCCCAAACCCCAAACCCCAAACCCTAAACCCCAACCCCTAAACCCTAAACCCCAAACCCTAAAGCCCAAACCCCAAACCCTAAACCCCAAACCCTAAACCACAAACCCTACACCCCAGCCCCTACACCCCAACCCCTAAACCCCAAACCCCAAACCCTAAACAAAACCCTACACCCCAAGCCCTAAACCCCAAACCCTACACCCCAACCCCAAAACACCTAAACCCCTAAACCCCCAAACCCCCAAACCCCTAAACCCCTAAACCCCTAAACCCCAAACCCCAAACCCTACACCCCAACCTCCAAACCGCTAAGCCCTAAACCCCTAAACCCCTAAACCCCTAAACCCCTAAACCCCAAACCCTAAACCCCAAACCCTAAACCCCAAACCCTAAACCCTAAACCCCAACCCCTAAACCCCAAACCCCAAACCCTAAACTAAACCCTAAACCCCAAGCCCTAAACCCCAAACCCGGTTTGACCCGCACTTACCTGCCAAAACTAACAGTATCACCTGACGCGCATTCCTGCGCAAGTAGCATTCTTGAGAGTGTACAAACCACTCCTGTATCACCTTCGACGTAACAGACTTCGGTCCGATTCAACCCCAAACCCCAAACCCTCAAACCCCAAACCCCAAACCCCAAACCCCAAACCCTAAACCCTAAACCCCTGAGGGGCGCCTCGGGTGCCAACGTGTCGAGGAGCTTCTGGGCCGCCGCCCCGGCGTCCGCACACTTTGGGAGGCACAGGCCGAACCTTTGAGAGGCAGCTTGCGGGTTTGGGGTTTCGGGTTTAGGATTCAGGGTTTAGGGTTTAGGGTTTAAGGTGTAGGGCTTAGGGTTTACCGAGTGCTAAGGATAAGACTTCGGATGGACTTCGGGCACCTCCCCTTTCAGGCAGAATGGCCTACAGCTTGGGTTTTTTCACATGGACTGAGATATGATCGACTGACCATGGCCATTGAGGCCACGCCACGCCAGGTCATGGCAGCAACATCTGAGGCAAGCACTGTAAGGGAGCCTGGTCACCATGAAACTCGAAACGTCCTGTCGCAGTGTGGCTGCGAAGAGTACATGAATAGCACAGGCATAGGCACCACTAGAATCTTGACTCCTCGAAGTTGCCAGTCAAACTTTGCTTGCTTCAGTCTGCATGCCGGCCTGCCACGTACTTCTGATCAAGGTATTCGCAGAGTCGGCGATTTCCCAGGGACCAGAAGCCATCACCTGGACTCCAACCAACTCTAAACCCTAAACCCTAAACCCTGAAACCCTAAACCCGAAAAACCCTAAAACCCTAAAACCCGAAAACCCCTAAAACCCCTAAAACCCTAAAACCCTAAAACCCTAAAACCCTAAAACCCTAAAATCCTAAAATCCTCAAACCCTCAAACCCTAAAACCCTAAATCCTAAACATCCCTGCAAACCCTACAGCCTCACAAGTGCTGCTCGGGGGTTGGGAACCTGGAGGCAACTGCTGAGTTCCCGATGAGGTGGACAGGCCCCAATGCTCCTCCTGAAATGCAGGTGACACTGCCACCCGTACATCAGTCATGACGCCTCGCTCGCCTCATCTCGCCTCACTGGCATACCACTTCGCAGGTCTGTTCAACAGAAGCTTTCCTTCCTTTCACTCGTCCTTGCACGCACTCACCCCTCTCCTCCATCGCGCAGCTGGTCGCTGTTGCCATGCCCTCGTCCGCTGGTTGAGCCGTGGCTTCGAGGCTCATCGCATACCGCCGTGACACCTTGCATCACTGGTGGATGCGGCACACTCTTCTATGGGCTCCTCGCTGTGTCGGGCTGCTGTGTACAAGACTGCAGAAGGGATTGAAAGGGAATAGACCTAAAATCAGCAGGCTTCAGAAAGGATTGGTGAGGAATCAGCAAAAGAATGAACTACAAGGGATCTAGGAAGGATGATTCGCTTGACCTCAACCACGGGAATCTTGCTTCATTGCTTTTGGCGAAGGCGTGCCTACAGAAGGAAATGCCTCGGCTCTAACTCTTCCTGGCTGATGTCAATGACTGGAACATGAAGTCAAGCTGCGGGACCTGCGAAGGCTTCTCTCCTGAGAGATGCACGGCAGAGAGTCGAGGGCAGTAATATATCGTGCTCGCGGCAGCTTGTCATGCATATAGGTTTCACAGGACGATGAAGGTGCAGCCTCTCTGGGCCATGCATGCCATCATGAAGCTTGCCACTCAGCCTGCGATTCTAGCACCTGCGACGCCTAGAGCGCACCCGATCGGAAGATATCAATCATTGCCAGTGCAAGCATGAAGTTCGCAAGCCGCTCGCCGATGTGAAGAGCAGCCCCGGGTAGAAGCAAAAGCACTGAGGAACCTCTTTCGTCCTGACAGAAGCGGCTCTCAGAATCTCATCAAAAATAGTAGAGTCTTGGGATGCCTGGCGATGTTTCGTGGCTTTACAGAGCTGATTCGGGGGTTCCGAGATGTTCAAAGCCAGGGCTGCCGCTTCAAGCGTGGTTCTGGCACTTCGGATTTTCATGGGCACTAAAGGTCCTCATCAAAGCCGATCACGCCGTGGTCCCGTGACTGCCAGCCCATGCAATCTGCCAGGGAACCGAAACACTACACATTCGTATGGTTCCTAGGAGCCAGCTTCGCCTTTTGCTTTACATGACACCTTCATGTACACGATCTAGACGGTGGGATGTTTTCACTTTTGGCGGTCTCTGAGCCGGCTCAGAAAGAATCCATGCAACAGGAGGGCAGCAGGGCCTGTCTGTCTTGCACACCAGGCCAGCCTCCCCCCTCATCGCGCCTCCTGGGTAGAAATGGAAGGGCAAGTCAATCGAGTGGGTTCCTGTCACCGCCAGAAAGAAGCTACGAGCGCTTTGCAAGCGTGGCGACACCAGGAGGGTCGCAAGAATCGAGCAGAGTCATCTTCTGACGGCTTAGGACCCGACCTTCGTGAATCGGGTGCTCGACTTCATGCAGCAGCCGGTAGCCTCGCAGCTTCTACCCCAGGACGGGCGAGTATGCCCTGTCACCCCTTAACAGGCCCTTTAAGGGGGATTCGAGGGGCCTAATTACCCATCCTGGTACACCCGGGCCATAAGGGGACCACCCCGGAAAAATCGAAGCATTAGGGACAAGCCTCGCGTGTCATCGTCCGGAGGCACCGGTGGCTTGTCCGGTCGAAACAATCTTAGTACATCTCGAGCTGCATCCGTGACATTCCGTTTCAAGAGTCAGGAGGCAAAGAAACCCTAAACCCTAAACCTTAAACCCTAAGAGAGTAAGGTCAGAACCCCCTACCACACAAGAATGGACTGCAGGCAAAGGGCTGAAGGCGCAGCTGCTGCGAGGCTGAGGCAATGAACTCTGCCCTTCAGGTGCAATGAAAAAGACGATCCCAAGCGTGGACTGAACCCTAAACCCTAAACCCTAAACCCTAAACCCTAAACCCCTAAAGCCCTAAACCCTAAACTCTGGGACGTTGCAGGTATCTTGGCCAAGGCTTGAATCTATTGCTAGAAGCACCAATCCAGTCACGCTCAGTGCGAGATGTGGCGGCTCAGTCGGCTTCCCTCTCGACAACCCTAAACCCTAAACCCTAAACCCTAAACCCTAACCCCTAAACCCTCAACCGTAAACCCTAAACCCTGACTTCAGGGGATCCTTACCAGGGCAAGTCATGAGGCCTCACGTGGTAGGTGACTCCATCGTCCGGTGGAAGGCAGAGCTGACGGTCCAGCACCACAAGCCCTTCGGCAGAGTTAGGGGCTCCGGGCGTTCGGGATGCTCCTCTGAGCCGAATACAAGAGCCAGAGAGCCAAGCTTAAACCACCCTCAGCCCTAAGCCCTAAAACCTAAACCCTGCAACTCCCCAAGCCCTGAACCGCAACACCCCACCTAAACCCTAAACCCTACACCCTAGACCCTCAGAATCGGGTGCCCGCACTCCACAGCCTTGAGTGTGGCTGAAGAAGTCCAGGTGCTGCCCTGGCCCCTGGAGCCAGCCCAGGTGTAGTGCAGGAGCCATGGGAGGTCCATGCCGGGTTGTCCAAGCAGAGTCTTTATTCATTTGTTTGAGTATTCTTGTTTAAGATATATATATATATATATTTTTACATATATATATATACACACATATCGTTTTTTGTGTTAGTCCTTTTTGTTTGGGAGGGGGGAGGGGGGGGGGAGGGGGGTGGTGGGTTTAGGGTTTTGTGGGGGGGGGGGGGGTTCTTCAAGGCCTTGGGTAGAAGTGGCCCGGTGGTGAGCGGCGTGCCCAAAATCACGAAAAAACCTCACCCTAAAAGCGGGGACCGACCTGTTGGTCCTTATAAGGGGGTTTAGGGTTTGGGTTTAGGGTTTAGGGTTTAGGGTTTAGGGTTTAGGGTTTAGGGTTTAGGGTTTAGGGTTTAGGGTTTAGGGTTTAGGGTTTAGGGGGTTCTGAATCACCACCCATGTGCCATGTGAAGTATCTGAGGAGTATGGGCCTCTGCGAGCCAGCTGGCGAACATCAACTTGGGGTTTGAGGGTTAAGGTGGAACCGAGATGGGGATGCCACCAATTGTCCAACCCCCCCCCCCCCCCACTGCCATTGGCTGTAAGAAATTCTTTGCCGTCGACACCCGGGCCTTCAAACCCATTCCAGCATAGGTGAGGGGGGCAGGGGTGCTAGTTTAGTACCGGGTTGTTGCTATTGAGCTGCATCTCCGCTGAAATCCCATCATCATATCTGAGGGGGGACGAACAATAGTGAATAATGGCGTGCGCGAAGGCTCTCCTGTTGAGCATGCGGTGAGGAAGTACACAAGCCCAGAATGGGCCAAGCATGAGCAGCTGCACTTGGCACCGAGCTCTGTTTTTCTTCAACATCCGCACCTGAATTTAGATGCAGCGTCGATTTGAGCCAGGCGAATTGGGGCCTTAGTATATCCATACCGGGCACAAAATACCTTCCACGACGGGCTCATGGTGCTCCAATTCACTTGCAGGTCGTCACTGCGACCTAGGGGGGATCTCTCAAATTTCAGAGACCATTCCTGCATTGGTGTGCAGTAACTATTTGCAGTCATCAGCGCCTTCTGCCGATGTGTCACTAGCATATACAAGATTCATTTACCTTCGCCTGACCGCTCTGTGCGTGGATCAGCTGAAAGTGCCATGATCTTAAAAGTTGCTGGACCGAAGCCCAAAGCAAAGGCGGTCATGCCTTTGCTCGATGCAGCCGTGCAGAGAATGAACAAGGTACCAGGATGTTCGATTGGGCCCTCGAATCCCCATGATCAACCTATAAAGGGCCTTTTTGGGGGGCTGTAGGGTGCGATAGCCCATGCTGGTAAGTTGCCAATGAAAGATTAATCAACATGGATCCACGCCTACTAGGGCTTCGGCAACAAGAGAGCCCTGCCATGCTCCCAAGCCCTGTGCCCAACCGAATCTTCAGGCATGTGGATGCTGGCGGTGGACGGAAGTCGCAGTTGGAGGTCGAGACCTGCATGGATTGAGGGTTGAGGGTTTAGGGGTGTATCAGTGGACTTCAGGCAAGTTTCCGTTCCATTGCTCTGTTCTTTTCGCCAAGGAAGCTTGTTACTTTCTCGGGGGCCTCGATGGCTCATGCAAGCTAAAGCTTGATCTCTTCGTACGATGATGAAGACCCCTCCCCAATGTGAGATGACTGGCCGGAGGACTTCCTACTCGGGTCCAGAGGGGGCAAGATATTCGAGTTTTGAACGGGTTCCAAGACCTAAAAACCGAATAAAACCTCATTCGATTCAAAGCAAATTTAGTTTTAAAAAAGGGAAATCCAATCAAAAGCTACATAATTCTTTCGGGCTACCCATGGGGGCGGGGGGAGGTATGCACCACCATGAATTGCCTCAAGAAGGCGCCACACAGATCTGAACACCACAATGTGCATGGGTTTGGGATAGGGTTAGCGTTTAGGGTTTAGGATGACGACACCAGAAGCCTGGAGGCAGTTCCCGGACGGCTCGTGGCTCGTGATGGGACCTGAGGCAGAAGGAGCAACAGAAGGGACGAATCTCCCGCGGGCCCACGTCAACGGCAAGAGCTCAAAGCTGAAGACTTTGGCGCCACTTGCGAATTGGGAACCTGCAATGCTGGCAGCGCGCAGCACGTGCTGCTTCGTTGCACGTGGACGTGGGGGTCTTTCTTTGACCCTGGAGATGGCCGAGTGCTGGCCAGCTTCAAAGTTTCTCAGGCTTTGCTTGGCAAACCTGCGAGGCAACCTTGAAGGAAGAGTATACTCAAGCGTACAGAATATGGATCAAGCAGATTCTGCAATATCATCAGCTACTAATTTCCACCGACCGTGCCTTCAAGACTGATCTAGCTCTACACGGCGGACCCAGGGATTTGCACCTAGGCCCTGCTTGGTTGCTGATCCTGCCTCGGCATGAAAGACTTGACTTTGTCCATCCAGCTCCATTGAGCAACTGGTCATCCCAAGAAGGAACTATGGACCGTGCAAGTTTTCTTGGCGCACGGAAGCCAACAGCAACTTGAACCAGGCACTCTCAATCTGGGGCTTATGGTGGCGGTCCACTAGGACCGGTGCCTCCACCGGAACCACTACCGCTGCCACTACCACTGCCACTACCACTGCCACTCCCACTGCCACTAGTTGTAGTGGTTGGAGGCCTAGTTGTGGTAGTAGTTGTTGTAGTTGTAGTAGTGGATCCACCACTGTTCGCAGTGTCATTCGTATCATTGGCGGATCCTCCGCCACTTGTGTCACCATCGTCGCCGCTGCTCACAGTGCCGTTGGTGGTTGTAGTAGTTGGAGGCCTGGTTGTAGTAGTACTTGTTGTAGTTGTAGTAGTGGATCCACCTCCACTCCCAGAGTCGCCGCCTCCACTGCCGCTTCCACTGCTGCTGCCGCTGCCACTGCTGCTGCCGCTGCCGCTGCCGCTGCCGCTGCCGCTGCTGCTGCCGCTGCCGCTGCTGCTGCCACTGCCGCTGCCACTGCCGCTCCCAGAACCGTCTCCATCACCATCATCACCACTTGCATCGTCTCCATAACCATCTCCGTCTCCACTTTGGCCTCCACTGCCGCTGCCACTGCCAGTTCCACTGCCAGTCCCGCTACCAGTTCCGCTACCAGTCCCGCTGCCGGTTGCGCTGCCAGTTCCGCTGCCGCTCCCACTATCGTCTGTGGGCCCTGAGGGCTGTCGCCCGAAGGAGACAGAAGCTGTCATTCCTTAGGCAAATTGACTCATTGCTGCGGAGCAGCCCACAATTCTCATGCCATGCGAGAGAACGTAAAACGAATGTGCAAACGAATGTAACGGCCCCTGTGGGGCTTTTGGGGGGTCTCCGAAAACATAGGAGCCCTTTTTGTGGGTCCCTTTAAGGGGATTCTATTCTATTTGGGGACTCAAGAGGGGCAGCCCTTATTTTCGCAAACCCCCCCATTTTGCTTCAAGGGGCCCCAGGTGGAGGAGTCCACGTTCAAGTCGTCTAGGATCGTGGTGAACGCCGATGTCATCTGCGCGGACACTTTGCAAAGCCCTTTTGACGGTAACCCTAAACCCTAAACCCTGAACCCTGAACCCTGAACCCTGAACCCTCAACCCTAAACCCTAAACCCTAAACCCCAAACCCTAAACCCTAAACCCTAATAATCCCTAGGCCCTAAACCCTAAACCCTACTCCGGGAGCCTTTGTCAAGCCCTTGCATTCTTAAGGGAGATACCTGGATATCGATACCTGGGACCTGGATCTTGGTGCCTGGTTCGTGTCATGGCTTTGGATGCTCTCTTGTATGGTCACTTTGTCCATGTTGTCCCCAATCTGGAAGATCTCAAACCTCATGTCGCCAAGACCCAGCAAGGGAAAAGTGGCAAAGCTAGAGCTGTCCATACGCACGACGCTACGATGATGGCTCCGTACTGGCTCTCTTCCTTGTCGGAACAGTGCATGCACAGCTAAATCCCTAAACCCTAAACCCTAAACCCTAAACCTTAAACCCTAAACCCTAAACCCTAAACCCTAAACCCTAAAACCTAAAACCTAAACCCTAAACCCCAAACCCTAAACCCTAAACCTACAGTCGCCAGGCAGCGACAACGAAAGTTGCATGAGACGTCGCTCTTCAAGACGACGGAAGCCCGGGATGCCACCAATCTCCTGAACATTCGGGGCACAGCTTTAGGGTCTTAGGGTGGTACTAGGGTTTAGGGTTTAGGGTTTAGGGTCTTAGGGTGGTACTAGGGGGTCTAAGGGTGGTACTAGGGTTTAGGGTTAGGGTTTAGGGCTTAGGTTTACCCGAATAGGGCATCAGGGTTTTTCGTGTTCTGGGGTTTTAGGGCTTTAGGGTTTAGGGTCTTAGGGTGTTGGGGAATTAGGGTTTAGGGTTGCCCCAATACTGATTAGGGTATATTGAAGATTTATTATGGGTGTTGGTAACGATTAAGGTAATAGAAATTATTAGGGTGTTGGTAATGATTAGGGTATCAGAACTTTTTTAGGATATTGGTAGTTATTAGGGTATCAGTAATTATGAGGGTATTGGAAATAAATTGGGTATCAGTAATTCATGGGATATCCGTAATGATTAGGGTATCAGAAATTAGTAGGGTAATTGTAATTCTTAGGGTATCAATAATTCTTAGTGTAATCGTAATTCTTAGAGTATCAGAAATTATGAGGGTATCAGTACTTGTTAGGGTATCAGTAATTATTCGGGTAGTAGTAATTAGTAGGGTACTGGTAATTATTGGTGTATTAGTGAGTAACTCGGGTATCCATAAATATTAGGGTATTCGTACCCAGTAGGGTATCAGCAATGATGAGGGTGATAGTAATTATTAGGGTATGGTAATCATTAGGTATTAAGTATAAGGGTATTAGTAAATGTTAGGGGTATGGGTATTAGTAATTATTAGGGTTTAGGGTGTTGGGGTACTTGGGTATTAGGGTTTCCGGGCGTTGGGGCATTTAGGGTATTAGGGTTTCGGGCATTGGGGCCTTAGGGTATGGGCCCGGAGTTTCCGCGCATGGGCGCACACCATCACCCCCCCCCCCCCCCCCCCCCCCAACACCCCACAGGCTAACGCAGCGCGCAAGAGATGCAATGGCAAGAAAATGAAGTTAACAATATTAGGCGTTTTTGTTGTGTCCGTTCGTTTCAAGCATAGGCCTTTGAAGCTGAGATGATTGGAGAATACTTGTACTTTGATTTTCTCAATGTTATGGGATTCTCCGGGTGGCTGGGTGCCATATCAGAGCCGCACATGTAACTTTACCATCAAACTGCTGGATCCGGAGCTGCTGAACCCTAAACCCTAAACCCTAAACCCTAAACCCTAAACCCTAAACCCTATACCCTAAACCCTAAACCCTATACCCTAAACCCTAAACCCTAAACCCTAAACCTTAAACCTAAACCGTGTAAAACATCGCGGCGAGACACTGAAACCGAGACCATCCACGGCTCAACGTCATTTCCGGCCAGCTGAGCCTTACATGACCCAGACCCCTGGGAGGATCCAGAAAGGTAGATCCCTTTAAGGGTTTAGGGTTTAGGGTTCAGGGTTTAGGGTTTAGGGTTCCTACTAGTGGTGCAGGGTACTATTTGGGGGTTCTCCCACAGGTCTGGATGTGAGCTATGACCACTGCCGAGCTGTAGTGCAGGTATGTCGCTTAAGTCGACAGGCTTTTTGGTGCAGGTGGGTTTAGGGTTTAGGGTTTAGGGTTTAGGGTTTAGGGTTAGGGTTAGGGTTTAGGGTGCAGAGTTGCAATTCAGGGCGTCGGTGCCGGCAGCTGAACCCTCTTTGTATGCCCGATTGCTCGGATTCAACTCTTTCAACGCCACCTTGACCGCAGAGACGCGTCGCAGCCAAGAAGCAACTAGTTCCTGGATGCCAGTGTACACGGCATCGACGTGCCTCTGTCGGCCCAAACGATCCGTCTTCGGAATTTTTTGAAGTACTGGGAGCTACAGTCTACAGTTGCTTCCGCTGTGGGGAGCTGCAAATACGTCTAGGCACCTTTGAATACGATCCTTGGGCCAGAGTATATAGTTACGGTAGTGTCGAGACTTGGCAAGTGCCGAGTCGTTTAGGGTTTAGTTGCTTCGGTCGGTTCAGTAAGGAACAGCCTTTGCGGGTCCGCTTGAACAGCGTGCCTCGAAGATCGGGCCTTGGTAGTAATTATTCGTCACTGTTCTCTGGATACTTGCCATGGGAGCCGATCTTCAGCCAAGGCGAGCGGACTTGTCATGGTTCCTTCGAAGATCTCTCACAAAACGTGCTCCTGCGAGCGGATTTTTGCGAGGCTGCGCGAACCGGAGTGAGCTAAAACAACACGAATATTATGGTGCCCAGGCACGCAAGCAAGACCGCCGGGTTGTTTAGGTCCAAGGAGAGGTCGCCTGTCAGAATCAGGAGCACGGGGAACTGCTCGGCACGGACTAGACCTTCTGGATCCGGCCTTTGATGGTGTCAACATTTTCGGGACAGTAGTACTGGTCGTTCGCGAAAAGGCAGTCCTCAGTGGGGCTCTGCCGCTGCATGTGGGTTTCTGCTTTTTATGCGCCAAACACCATCGCCTGGTCCTTCGCAGGCAAGACATGAACACTTAGTCTCTGAATCTGTGCGTGTTCGTATGTGGCGACAGCGCTGTGTATCATGTTCGTCTGGTGACAGCGCTGCTCGCTCCTGTGCTGCGAAAAAACACAAACCCGCCCCTCCTGGCCGCGAAAAAATATGGTCGCGGCTGCCAAGGAGTGGAAACCCTCGGCCCATACCAATTGGGGCCACATCATCTAGTGCCTAGAGCGGGCATTCCTAGCCAAATGCTCTCTCCTCACACAAAGCCTCAAAGATATTCAAAGCTGAAATTGAGGCTGTTAGGGTGACTGGTCAACTCCCATATGGGGGTTTCCCTCAAATAGTAGGATTCCCTTACATTCAGGGCCCCAAGAAGGTGCCCCCAATTTCGGAAACCCCCACATCCCCTGACCTAGAGAATCCTGCAAGGCTCGCCCAGGTTATCGCACTGTCGTCCCATTGGCGTGGGGCAGGAGCTGTATGCAGGACCTCAGCGACGGTTTCAGTACTTCGTTCTTGGACCCTAAACCCTAAACCCTAAACCCTAAACCCTAAACCCTGAACCCTAAACCCTAAACCCTTGGAGTCTGTAGGGCTGCCAAGATGCTCTCCCAGGTGCATGAGCCTGAGCACGCCCGCAGCTAGGGTTAGTTTAGGGTTTAGGGTTTAGGGTTTCGGGTTTCGGGTTTCGGGTTTAGGGAACCCTCGGAAGTCTACTGTCCCGGCAGGGCACTTTACCTCTTCTGTCGATGGGCTCTTTGGAGGAGCCCTCTTGAAGTCAATCTTTTCCGGGTTTCAAGGCCATTGTGATTCAATTTGGGAGCCCCGCTCTGCATCCTCACATGGGGTGTGCACGATACTAAGGGACCCTAAACCGAAATAGTAGGAGTAAAATAAAAAAGGGCCCTGTTCTAAACTTTCTAAACCCTCAAATAATAGGATTCCTAAAAAACAAGGTAACAAGGTACCCCTAATGTCGGAAAACCCCCACATCATCAGGGGCATGGTGCAGGAACAAAGTGGATCTGCCCTGATGGCGAATGCCCAACGCTTGCCCGCAGGAGAATCTGGGGGCACATGCCCGTAGGTGCGGAGCTGGCGAAGAGCCATGGCACAATAAAGATAGCCATGACACAATAAAGATAGCAATAGTAACACAAACACTCTGAACAGTTTGAATACGAAAACATGAATACACTATAGTCTACTACAAGAAATAATATAAGGAACATTAAAATACGCAGGCAATGGCAGCTGCAGCTGCGGCAGCTTGGACATGTTTTTGAAAACTGCCAGTGCCAAGATGCAGGATGTGGGGCAGTAGAAGGAGACCGTCTTCCACTTCCAGTCGAAGGTGGTGTTCCACTGATCACACGTCCCCCAGCTGACGTTCCTGGGCAGGGTAAGCTAGGGGTGGTGCCTCGAACTTCTTTTGGTTGTGTTTTGGGCAAAACGCATTTGCTCCAAGAGTCTCTGCTGACAGATTAGCAGCGAAGCCACACCCATGATCCCACATAGCCTGTGCAACAGTGGCTGGACGAACCTACACTGCTGCAATCACAGACAGGAGATAAAGGGCCATGTGCGACCAAACACTGAAGCGAGCCAGGTGAAGCAGACGGAAAACACACAAGCGATTGAGCAATGGTCTGGATTCGGATTAGGAGGCAGGACTGCCAGGACGGGCGATTATACTTCAAAACGGCCAGTTATAGGCTTAGGGTTGATTTTAGGGCCTAATAGCCCATCCTGGTGTCCCCTCAATGAACAGCGTGACAGCTACGGTGTGCGGCACCGACACTCTTCACAATTAACAGCAGTGAGAGCCACGAAAAAACCAAACACGTAAAGCGACTAATTCTTGCAACATCTTGCAACGCTTCTGCAGCTCTAGCTTGAAGCACGTTATCAGCCTCCGCTGTCACAGGGTTCGTTTCCGGGAATGCCAGCTTGGACTTCGAGCTTATAGGGGTTTAGTGCCTCGACCGGCACACAGACTTGTAAGAGACCTCACGTCTGTTCGAAACCTGAATGGTGCATGTACTTGCTTGCAACTGCTTCTCAAAACGCCCGGATGTTGCAACCCGAGTCGCGCCCACTGCACAATCAATTTAACACACCCCCAACACTAGCCAACCAGCCAGTAGAATGACGATGTGCCCCAAAAAGAAGGTCTATGGGCCAGAGTTCTTCTAGAATGGTGATTCTGGAGGTCAAGTTACAGCCCCTATCCCTATCTCCCAAAAAAAACAAAACAGGCCGGTGCCTGTGCCAGCATTGCCGCCTCAGGCTTCCCTTGCAAGTTGCCCTCCGACTGGCTGAAAGCCTTGCGCGGTGGGGGGGGGGGGGGGTGGGTGCGCACACCCTTGAGGCTCAAGACGCCAGGATGGGCTACTATTACCCTATAGCCCCCTTAAAAAAGGCCCTTTAGTTAGAGGGTTGATTCTGGGGCCTTATAGCCCATCCTGGTGTGGCCGGCTTTGAAAGAGGGCGCCCCTTCTTGATTGGGGTGTCTCTGTCCTTCTGGCTCTTGATTTTTTGCGCTTCGGAGCTCATTCTGGTCCAGAGGAGTCTTGAAAACCCGCTTAGAGCTATGTAGAGCTTATTCAAGTATGAACCCTAAACCCTAAACCCTGAACCCTAAACCCTAAACCGAAACCCTGAACCCTGAACCCTAAACCCTAAACCCTAACGGTTGTTTGCTTTGGTGTTTGTTTTGGGGTCTGCCTGGATGGAGTTCACCCAGCTGACCCATGGCGTGAAGTTCCGTAGTTGCTCCGCGCTCTTCTCCACACACACCGCGTTGGTGAAAGCATCCTGGACATGCAAATCGGGGCTTATGGTTTAGGGTTCAGGGTTCAGGGTTTCGGTTTAGGGTTCAGGGTTCAGGGTTCAGGGTTTAGGGCTACTAGGGTTCAAACCCAGAAGGCCCTGGAACCTGAAAGGTGCGAGGTCTGAACCTCTCATCCCCTCCCTCCTGTTGCATGTGCCTTCATTTCTGGGGATCCCGGCAACTCCTACACAAATCCTGCGAACTCCCCAGCAAGATAGCCCTCACAACCGCCGGGGAAACATCCCAAAATGCCCAATCGCCCTTAAACCCTAAACCCTAAACCCTAAACCCTAAACCCCAGGCCCTAAACCCTAAACCCTCCATCTTGGACTCCATGCCTGAACTCCCTGAATTTCGGGACAGGCCGAGGCGGTCGATGCCCCAGGATTTTACAACGACTCCCCCGAAAAAGGGGGGCCACATGGGGGGGTTTACGATGGTAAGGGACCCCGCATACTAGGATCCCCTTACAATAAGGACCCCAACCAGGTACCCCTAATATCGTAAACCCCCCCATATTTTGGAACATGGTATGTATGGTACCCCTAATATCGTAAACCCCCCCCCATATTTTGGAACATGGTATGTATGGTACGCCTCATATCGTAAACCCCCCATATTTTGGAACATGGTTTGGTCACGTCCGTCCTCGAATGCCGTTTGTTTCCAGCATGGGCGACCAAGGCCGTATGGGCAGCCCTGAGGGCAGAGCTTGAGTTTGTGAAGGGTTTAGGGTTTAGGGTTTAGGGTTTAGGGTTTAGGGTTTAGGGTTTAGGGTTTAGGGTTTAGGGTTTAGGGTTTAGGGTTTAGGGTTTAGGGTTTAGGGTTTAGGGTTTAGGGTTTCGGCTTAGGGTTTTCGAGAACTTCGAGGGCTTTGGGGGGCTGGATGTTTAGGAAGTGAGCTGCTTTCACTTCTGAGCCCGAAATGGGAGGGACAATACCTACCCGCATCAACGCGCCTCGATGTGCAGGTTCTCGCCTCCGGGATCCTTGCAGCCGCAGGTTTCCTGAGTCCGCTCTGGGGGTCTTCAGGGTTTAGGGTTTAGAGTTTAGGGTTTAGGGCTTAGGATTTGGGGTGTAGGGTTGTGTGGCTTAGGGTTTGTAGGAGTTATGGTTTAGGGTTTAGGGTTGCACGGACTTAGATGTTGCTGTTGACTACCACCCCGAGCGGCCAGCAAGTGCGATGTTCATTTACTGTTGCCTAGTAGGGAATGAGGGAATGAGGTACCCCTATATACCCCCTTAAAGGGTATCCCTATATACCCCCTTAAAGGGTATATATATATATATATAGAGGGGATAGAGGGTACCTCATTCCCTCATCCCTTCCTAACCAACTGTAATCTCATGCCAAGGCTCCGAGCAAAACATGCGAACGGTGAACCCCATGCCGCCATCGACTCCCCACTCGGGCATCTTGGTGATCGAGTCGCCTTGGCTTGAAAAAAAACCTAGGAGCACCCTAAACCCTAAACCCTAAACCCTAAACCCTAAACCCTAAACCCTAAACCCTAAACCCTAAACCCTAAACCCTAAACTCCACACCCCAAACCCCAAAACCCCCTAAACCTAGACACGAGCTAAGGGCGTTGCCATCCTTGGCAGCGAACCCAGCTTAAGCTTGGCGGCAGTAGGGCTTCGCATCCGCGCAGCCTCGAATGCTCTGGTTTCCCAGAGCATTCCTCAAGTAGTTGAGGATCGGCTCCTGCCCCAACCAGCATGGGCTATCCAGCCCCATAATCCCCATAAACGCTGTACAGGCCCTTTTGAGGGGGTACAGGGTATAATAGCTCCTGCCCCCCCCCCCCCCCCCCCCCCCCCCCCCCCCCGGTACCCATGCGTGGTGCAGTGCAAACCACGCACACACGGACACACGCTAAGTAACTAACGAAGTGCGTGCCTAACTTCCTTACCAACTAACTAACCAGAAATTCAGTCCAGAAAATAGCGGTATACCCCCTTTGGGGGTTCCTACAATAAGGATTGTAATTATTATTTTGGGTATATTAAGGGTACCCCTATTTGGGGAAATGCCAAGATGATGCCGTCGCAGGCTTGCGGCTAATGGAGGGGTCCTGGTTTCCGATGTCCCCACAGTCTGGGTTGTAAGCATCCACGGTCTCATCCACAGATAGAACCGAGGACTCCGTCAACCTGCTCCTTATATTTTGGGTCGCATTTCGAATCAAAGCAAGCACAGAAGAACCTAGTGACTTTAATGATGCCTCCGGCAAAATGCATGCTGTTTCTCTGACAAGGCTCACATCAGAGACCCAGAAGCCGTACTGCGTGGCCTGCGAGAGATCACTCAGAGCATTGCAAGCTCGGCACTCATCACTATTTACGATTGTTCTGCATCACCACTCTTGCTAGCTTCAGCAGCGTTTGGGCAAGGCACGTTGATGTGCTGCAACTTGAGGAAGCCATCGACACTTGGCAGTGATTCTGCTTCATCCACAGCCAAGTACCTCGAGCAGATGTTTGGGACCCAGCGGTGCTTCTAGCCCATGCAGCAGGGTAGGTATAGAAGATACTCCGGAGAACAGCATCTCTAGCCATCTCAAAAATATGACGCCTCGTCCTCTAGAGGTGCTGTCTGGCTTCAACTAATTGACATCAAGCATCTGGATGGAGTCGGAAAGGTTGTCCCAACCACCACCGTCTGTTGGCGACATGAGCACCACTCTGCCTCGTCACGGTCATTGCACTTGATCTGTCTTGATCTGGCCTATCCGTCTGGCTGGTGCAACATGACGTCGACCACACACACAAACAAACCTCACTCTCACAGGCACGCAAAGTATCTTGACTGCCAAGTTTCGCTTGTCAAGGGTCCAGACGAACTGCTGCGCACCGCCGCACATGGCGCTTGAGACGTCGGTCAAGGTCTGCACGATGGGCGCTAACATCGTGAAATAAATCCTTGGTTGTCACCACAAGGGGCCTCCGGGACCTGGCAACTGTGTCCTGAGGGTCCTGATTCCTGACAGAAGACTCCTGCGCACCAAGAGTCAACACAGTGAGCCCTGGGATCCTGAGCATCGGAGCACGCATTCAGGGTTGCCTAATACAGTTCAGGATGCAGAGCGTAGAGTGTAGGGTTTCATGCTCCGGAGACACTTCTTCCTGCTCAGTTGATGAAAACTCACCACAGAAGCCATGCAAACTGCGAATGTGCCTGACGATCACAGCAGCATGAAGCCCACAAGGCACCTGCCTATGTGTGCCAGGGCTCAAGAGGCTCATGGTCGTGGATTTGGCATCGGCGCCTTCAGCTGAGTCTGCTGAGTGTCAGGTTCTGGGTTTCTATACTCCCCTTAGAACCTTAATAAAAGACATAATATTCTTTATATCCTCTGGGGATTTATATTAAAAAGAATTAATTCCAGAAAGAAATATAGGTTTAAGGTTGTGGGGCAGCTTTGAGAAGCTTGAGCTTGGGTGTCGACAAGCGCGCAGCTGGGCGGTCTGAATTCGTATAAGCTGCCTCGCTGTCTTCAGGATACTGGTTTCCACCCTAAACCCTAAACCCTAAACCCTAAACCCTAAACCCTAAACCCTAAACCCTAAACCCTAAGCCCTAAAACCAAAACCCCAAAAGCCCCACGCGATCCTCGAAAGCGAGGGAAGGACGGCATGGGCAGTGCGTCGAGTTGGTGTACCTGAAGGGCGTTTGTGGGCCTTCAGAGCCCGCAACATGATGCTCTGAGAGACCGAAGTAAATGGCAGAAATGAGAGGGGGACGTATGCGCTTGTGTATATGTATATATATATAATGCGGCACATGTCTATATAAATATATGTATACATACATACATATATATATATGTATAGAGTTGTATTTAATACATGGAAAGTCTTGAAGACGACGATGACCTTTCAACAACGTCGCTGTGACAACCAAGCCGGGGAGGGAGCGCTCCATTATAAAGCACAAGCACGGGTCTGCGCGGACTTGCAGGTGTGGGCTTAAACCTCAAAACCCACCAAGAACAGGCAGGCAGGGGGAACGAGGCCAAGCGAACTTACAGTGAGCACGTTTGTACACGGAGGGCCTGTCATACACATAAACTGATATACAAATACACATATTATAACATACTGGTACCAATGAATAAGTACATATATATATATATATATATTTGTATGTATATGTATATATATATATATATATTGTATAGAGTTTATAAAAATGAAACCTATTCATAATGTCACAACATATATGCTCGCTATACACATCATGTTGAGGGTTTCAAGATCAGTTTTATTAATAGTAGATGACCGGAAGCCTGAATATTTCCAACCAGAGGCCTATAATCAACTGCCAACACCCAGGTACCAAATGTCGTCCAGGCGTTGTGGCCAGAGCATCGAACAGCAGATCCTGGGAAAATCCACGAAGACTCGGGCTTGTGAGCAGGGGCTGATTATATACGAGGGGAAACGCAGATGATGATCAATGTGCTCTGGGAAGCTTGTCCGCACGTGAGTTGCTTTCATCACAGAGCCTTCCAGGCTGAAAAGCATGCCCTTCCATGAGCAGATGTGTGTTAGATCCGCATTAAGCTTGGTGTCGTCAATGTCCAAGATGATGCCCAGCGCAACTGCCTGGGCGGCAGGGACTCTACCAGTATTCCTGCTGCGTCGTGCCGCTATGCCCAGCTCAAACTTGGGGCGGGCACTCAGACATTCGCACAGATGCTGTGACTTCTGACGCTGATCTTCCCCTGTGCCCTGTTGAACACAACACATCCTCTATACTACCCCCCCTTAGTTCCCCCCCCCCCCCCTTTAATTAAGGCTATTTAGGGAGAATTAAGCCTAATTAAGGTTGTTTAAGGGGGCAACCTACCCAACCAGAGGCCTAAGACCCAAGAGATTCCAAGCCCTTCAAGCTCCGCAGAACCCTGTGCGCTGAGGCAAAGACGTTCAGGATGAGCTCGGTGACGTTTACAGTGTACACCTCCAGCCGCGTGGGCAGGCACTTAGCCCAAGATTTGGGGCTGGCTCGGTTTGGGGGGTCGGTTAAGTAGGAACCCTCAGAGCCGAGGAAACTATTCACAAACGTCAAACACTATAATTTGAAACATACTTTGAAATGGATTGAATGCAATCCTGGGGGCCAAGAAGAAGGTCCCGACATAGATCAGCAAGCCAGCGGCAACCAGGCGGTAAAATAAGAGGAGTGAGCTGATCACCTTTCGACGCCGTGACACAGCAGTGAGCCTCAGCGTTCACAGGGGGCAAACTCCGAGACCAATGTGTGAATCCTAAGTGTGATCCTGCTGTGAACACAGGCGTATAGATGCTAAGAATCCCATTCGCGCACTGGGAAGACTTGTCGGATTCGCACACCGGACGGCACATACAGGTTTCACGCGCCACCCGATTCGCACAGAGGATTCGAACACAGACTTGACAGACTCGATCACAACCCGATTCGTGCACTGGCGCGGTGGGATTCGTGCAAGGAGGATTCGCGTCGCGCATTCAAATTAAGCCCAACAGCCCGAAACACTGACACCGAAACACCAAAACACGAAATACCCTATGTCGTTAACGCCGAAAAGCCTTAACAAGCCCGAAAAACCCTATGTCATTACAGCCGAAAACTCGTAAAACCCGTAACCTAAAACTCTCTGAAGCCCTAAACACCCTCAAGCACGCAGGCCTGAAAAACCCTCCCCTGCCCACACAACCCGGTAATCATCTGTGTCCGTCAAGGGACCTGTAGTGGGTCACCTGCGTGGGCAACTTCCAAGATACAGGCATCTCCCAAAACAGGGGTACCCTTCATTTACCACCCCCGATATCACCCTGAATAATTACAGGCCATGTGTTGGAGGAAGACCGTACTCGTTGCGGCAACACTAAGGCTGGGCCTGCCTATAGCAAGGGCCTTGACAGCACCAGCGACACAATACGTGGCAATTGAAGCAGTGAAAGTACCTGATGCGTTGATCACCCTGGTGCCCGCGCCTGCGTGAAAGGATTCCTGAGCAATCAGCAGCCAGGTTTAATTGGTTCTTTTAAGGTCTTAAGCAAGCTTCCAGCATTCAACACCCATGCCTCCAGGGAAGAATCATCCCTATGATCTGATCAACCCTTAAAGGGCCTGGTGAAGGGGTTCTAGGGTATAAAAGCCCATGCTGGCATGTAGTGACGAGTTAGCGGATGCCTTTGTCGATGCAAAGGCGCTGCAAGGCCGAATTCATACCCTTTTGCTGCTAAACTTTAGCTGCTGCATGGCAACACCCACGCCTTCCACCCTGAACCCTAAACCCTAAACCCTGAACGCTCAGGTTGCTCCCAAGGGTGGCCAGGAGTCTCTCGCGTCAGAAGTGTGGTCGGGCCGCGCTCGACCGACACCACCCCCCGGTGCAGGGCAAGTGCGTGGCTTACCTGCACTATACTCCCCTGAGAACCTTAATAAAAATATTATTCTCAATATCCTCTTGGGTTTTGTGTAAACAAAAACAAAAAATAATTCCCAAGGGGGATATAGTGCAAACAGGCTGTGCAGTTTTAGGGTTGGGATGTTCCCCCTTTTCGGGTTGTATAGTACCCTATTCCAATCCTACTAAGGACTGTTAGTAGAAGGGCGAACATCCCAAGTTTTGGATTGCTGCACTTAACCATGCTCAGCAACCCAAAACTTAAGCACCTGCGCTACATGGGGTTTCGAGTTTGGGGTTTGTTTATACATATCTCTATATTTATATATAGTGTATCTCGGCCTCCTTTGCCACCATCAAGTACCAGCCTGAGAGCAAACAGAATTCAAGGGTCAACTTGTCAAATCTTCTCCATTGCGGCCGTCACCGAACAACACCTCGCACAGAGCCTTCTTGGGTTGGCATATGGGTGGCTGTCAAAATTATGATCCTTTCTGCGGTACCTTAAATATTAAGTGCAGTATTATAAGAAGGATCCAGAAAGGGACCATAATTCTGACAACCACCCATATGCCTTTCTTGAAATGCTGCTGTGCGACAAATCAGCGCGACCAAGCCTTGCCGTGGAGGATTGAGGGCATCATGTGCGCCATGGTTTAGGGTTTAGGGTTTCGGGTTTAGGGCTTTGGGGTTGAGCCATGAGAATGTGCAGCCACAGTGGCACAACACTTGCCCGGTGAAGAACCGCTCCACACCCTCCGCTTCGGGCTTGATGTACTTTCCTTGGCAGAGCATGGTCCAATGGTCGCGGGGCGCCTGACCTGCTCTTGTCGCTGCTGTGGCGAACGCTCCTAGACGAACCGTGCCGTTCTGAAGTGTGAATTTCCAAGCAGTGGTCGGTCAGGTCTTCTGAAGCAGGCAAACCAAAAAGATTTGTCCTTCATGAAAGAATAGCTCTTGGACAGCTCCTTGTCAGGGGGGAGGGGGCTTGGGGACGGGGAGGCTTCTCCCGGACAGCCCCAAGCAAGCCCTCACCTGGACAAGTGGCGGATGTTCTCGTACATGTTCATTTGGATGCCGGATACGGGCAAAGACCTCCACAACTCTACATCTGATCTGCAGCTCATAAGTTGGCTGTATACAACCTCAAACGAAATAAAGCACACAGCAATACAGCTGGTACGAGGGCCCAATTGAGGCCAGTACTGTGATTGATTCTCATGCATCGGCTGTGTCGATCTCCGTGGGTGGTGCATCGTATTGCAGCCAAGCAGCTTGTCCAGCTGACAAACTCGTGCCACCAAGGAGGACTTGGAAACATCATCATACTGCGAAAGGGAATGTCCTGCAGACTGGGAATTGTCGAATGTGAGACTGCATGCAGCTACAAAGTTGTTGTCCTGAAGAGCGCCGCCACCGAAGAGTGTCTTCGATGGTGTCCGGGGTGATGTCCGGATCGGTGAAATTGAAAAGAGCAATCCCCACGAAGATTCCCTGCCTTATCCAAGTTCGCCACGCAATGAACCCATGAACTGGGTCTTACTCATGACTCTTGTTGGAAACTGTCTGTTTACCTTCTTTAAGGTGGACTGTGCTCCATCTGTCTTGCTTTTTCACTTCACTGCAACCATGCGAATGGCGATCCAAGTTCCGTGGTAGCTGCCCACCCCAAGGCCCAATACCAAACCCTGACAAGCCCCAACCATTCCCGCACATTGGTGTTACAAAGGAGATCCTGAGAGACAGCAAGCGAAAGAGCATTTAATTTGCCGGCCGAAGCGCATGACGACGTTTACAATCCTGGTTGGCTTGCTCGGGGATGAGGTTGAAACTTGAAACTGCCACCCCTGAAACCACCATCATCCTATAGCACAACGGCGAGCTGCTATGGGTATGTACCACTATGACTATGATGTCGCCTATGTCGCAGCTGTCTGCCACGAAAGTGCTAGTAGGACTACTGGTTCCGCCCAATATCATAACAGCACTACTGGTGCTAATAGTAGGAGTAGCAGTAGTTGTAGTACTACTATTATCACCACTTAGGGCGAAAGTTGCTGGTTTACGGTATGCTCTTCCTCACTTGTAGTTGTAGTAGTAGTAGTAGTAGTAGTAGTAGTAGTAGTAGTAGTAGTAGTAGTAGTAGTAGTAGTAGTAGTAGTAGTAGTAGTAGTAGTAGGAGGAGGAGGAGGAGGAGGAGTGGTCGTCGTCGTCGTCGTCGTAGTAGTAGTAGTAGTAGTAGTAGAAACAGTAGCAGCAGCAGGAGCAGTACCATTGACAGTAACAGTAGTAGTATCGTTTTCGGCGGTGCTGTCTGAAGTGCACCGGCAGGCTGTCGCTTTCGCACGACGAACATGCGGATGCTTGTGCTTCTGCTTCTGCTTCTGCTACTATACTACTGCTACTACCAATACTACCGACTACTACGACCGCAGCAATTGCTGCCGCCTCCCGCAGCACCACCACGACCACTGCTCACGCTGGCACCCGTCATCCGTGGACATGAAAAAACAGTAACAACAGCCCAAGCACAAACATGGAGCAACCATTCTCAACCAGCATGGGCAGCATGGGCTAGTATACCCTATAACCCCTTAAAAAGGCCCTTTATAGGGTTGATCCTGGGGATTTTAGGGCCTAATAGCCCATCCTGGAAGAAGCCAAGATTCGCCAAGATGAAAGTCTGAAGGGAGCCCATGGGCCCAAGTGCCTCAAAGTAGCCATGAAGCTGTGTGAACAGGGCACTCTCTTGGGATACCTGCGGGAGTGTTGAAAACAGCTCTGCAGGTCAGGACCTTACCGTAGTATACTGTAGCAGTCGTATGTTCGGTTCGAGGGGCTGGAGCAGAATATCAAAAAAAGTCTTCAATTCCTGTCAAGGAAGCCCTTCGATTCCGTTTTGGGGTTCAAGCGTTGGGCTCAATTCTGGTGCCCTGCAATTGGATGCAAAAAGTCCGCAGCTGACGCAATGGACTCGGATGCTTTGTTCAAAGCCGTAAACACTCCTGAGGTCACCCAAGGTCACCATGACCAGTCCAAGCTGAGTGTCGCCCGTGCCAATGAAGATAAAGAGATCCCATGTTGACTCCCCGAAGGTGTAGTACTCCTGCACAAACATGCGCAAGCTGCTGGGCAAACCCCACGCGAGAACGACAAGAGAGACCTTCTAAGACTGCCTGGTTTCCAGCATCTAGCCACCCTGCCCGCCCCAGCAAGCTCAAGGACTGAGTCAGGATGCCTCCAACACAGGATAACAAAGGGAGGAACGTACCCCTTGGGCACAGCTGTCGCTTCAACGTGGTCCATATCGATGCGCCTTCGTCTGAGTGTCAAGAGTCTGCTCGTTGATGACGTTGACCTGCACTGAAGGGGTGATCATGTCTTCGGCATGTCTTCGGCACGTTACGCGGGACGTGTTCCACTTTCCGCCTCTCCGTCTGCTGCTATTTCTGTGCTACACCCTCCGCCCACAGGCTTCTCGCACCAAGAGCTTCTGGCCGTTAAGGCAATCCAAACCGGCGTAGGGTTTTTAGGTTCTGCCTTTGCCCAAAGAAAAACACCTGCGGGCGCTTCAGTCTGGGTTCGTCGGTCGTGTACTGGAGTCTCGTCGAGCCTTTTCGGCTCCAGTGCACGCGACAGACGAGTCCAGACTGGAAGAGCGCCCGTTTTTGGTCCAGGCCGGGCCCCAGGCCCTTTTGGATTGGGACGCTACAAACCGACGCCTCTGTCTCGGAACGAAGCTTTGCAGGGAGCTGAATGACTTCACGCTCTGTCACACTCTTCTCTCTCTCTTGCTTGACACTCTCATACCTTCCGCCTTGGGAGTTGAGATTGTGGTCCTCCGGCCATGCTTTTGACGTGGTTTGACAGGCTCATCCACAACCTCGTTCTCCATCTTGTTGTCTGCACCTGAGACGAAAAGCCGGTAACCGCACAAACGCAAAAATGCGTTAGCATGCTTGTGATGGACAAATCAATTTGCCCGCTTTCTGGTCCGACCCCGAAACCACTCGGAAACCCTAACCGCCCCAGCATATACCCTAAGCCCAAATAACCCGAGCCCCTAGACAACCTACAATTGAAGCCGAATGAAAACCAATTCAAAGGGCGGGGAGGCGGGGCCTTCTCCAACAACGACGGGGTCGTCCCAGACTTCGATGCCGTCATCTCCGGTAGGTTGGATTTCTGAAGGGCCTGGCAAGCTTCTCCCATGGGTTTAGGGCGGTTCCGGACTCTATACACTCTTGATTCCACACTTCACTTCACTCTCATCTTTGCTTCGCTGCATTCCCCACTTCCAATGCGCTCCGACCTCCCTCTGCTTTACGCCGGCATCCACTAGGCCCCGCAGCACCATGCAGACGTAAAGAGGCGGGCGCCCAAGCATCATTGGATGCATTAACGATGGCTACGTTCTGTTTGTATGGTTGATTGGAACCCTAAACCCTGAACCCTACACTCCCTAAACCCTAAACTCCCTAAACCCTAAAACCCCAAAACCCTAAAACACTAAAACCCTAAAGCCCTAAACCCGAAGCCCCGATGCTTCCGCTCCAAGCCTGCGGGCTCGCCCCATTTGGGCCCCAAGAACTTCGCCACATCGTCTGCGTCCATCTTCGGCAAAGAGCCCGTGTTCAGAAGATACCCCTTCAGGGCCGCCTGCATCGCCTGCTTGGAGGCAGGGTTTAGGGTTTAGGGTTTAGGGTTTAGGGTTTAGGGTTTAGGGTTTAGGGTTTAGGGTTTAGGCTTTAGGGTTTAAGGTTGAGGGTTTAGGGTTTAGGATAACTGTACTTACAACCCACTTCTAAGCCCCTCAGGTGCCCGAATATGGTTATAAGTACAGTTATAAGTGCAAAATTATATATTGGTTGATAAGTACCACGAACCTCCAAGTGTCCCAGAAAGGACGCCAGGGTTTAGGAGAGGGGTCGTTCTCGAAACTAAGGTACCTTTTTGGGGTCCCCTCTATCATACGGCACCTCTTATAGTAAGGACCCCAAAAAGGGACCCTAATCTAGAGAACTACTCAGAGGTTGGTTCGTGGCTCAGGCGAGTTAGGAGCCCCAACACCTCCAACACGCAGCCCCTGGCACCTTCACAATCTCCTCCAAGCCCTCCACTCGCTCGTCGACGCCTCCGACCGTAGCCTTCACCCAAGCACAAGCAGCTAAGCCGCACCACTGTTGGGGTAACCCTAAGCCCTAAGCCCTAAACCCTAAACCCTAAACCCTAGACCCTAAACCCTACAATTTTAAAATGATCATTCTTGTTCCTTATTGGGACTAAGTATTCGAAAACATGCAAAAGGATGTTCAACAATGAGCCAGTAAGCCCTACAACAAGGTGGGCTCCGTGGACCTAGACCGCCTTCCCCTCAACCCTAAACCCTGAACCCTAAACCCTACACCCTAAACCCTAAATGTTCTGTAGACATATTTGGGAGACATGGGTGGAGGGCGTCAGGGTCTTGAGGCAGTCTTGATGCTCTGGATACGGAAGCCCTGATAGAATGGACTTCAGATTCCGGTGCTCAGAACAAAGGTGGCCGAAGATTTCGCTGACGCACGAGGACATGGGCAAGGATTAGGGTCCAGCAATTTCGTGATCTTAGAGTCAAGTTCAGCTCGATGTCACGATTGGGTCATATAAGGTACCCTCATCTCCCGTTTTGGGCTAGAACCAAAAGGCTCCGTACCATGACGTCCAGAATTGGGCCCAACATGCAGCATAACAGAAGGGAACCCGAAGCCCTGAGCCTCTCTTCCATGCAACTCCGCACCTCCAGTTGATCGAAGCGGTCCTCGATCTCAGTGATGATCTGGTGATCATTGAGGGCTCCTGGACTGGAGCTGGGTTTAGGGTTTAGGGTGTAGGGTTTAGGGCTTAGGGTCTTAAGGCTGCTATCGAAAAATGAGCTCATTGTACTGGAGCTGGGTTGCAGCTGCAGCCTGTAGGGCATCTCTTCCAAGCTGGTTCGACCGCAGAGGAGGGTTGTGCATTTAAACCTAGTCGCTGTTTTAGCCTGATGTTGGGTCGATTGCCTGGAGGGCTGAAGTTTTGATTAAGTGCTGTACCTCCTGAACAGCATCTTGCCAAGCTGCCGGACATGAGGCAGCGGCGGCCAACCGCACAAGTTCTCGCTTGCAGAGGATCCTTGGATTGAGCTGCACATCATATCAGGCCGGCTCTCTGAGTCACTCGTTCACAAGCCCCTGTCAGACTCTGTGGCCATACCGACAGAAATTTCGGCAATCTCTCTCCAAGAATCGAAACGTGCAAGATCTCGGCTCGCACAAATCGAAACCCAGGTTGGGCCGCAGCGGCTAATGCTGGACAAGCAGTTGTCGATGAACGCCGAACCCTAAAACTGCAAGCTGCTTGGTGGTTTACATCATGCTGCGATAGAGTCGAAATGCAGACAACGACTCGTTTCTGAGACTTTAGCATGGGCATTGACTGCACCTGCTTTGGTTGTGGCATCTCAGGTCCCAGCACCCGTGCTTGGTGTGCGAGGTCTGGACATCCTTGAATTGTGGGATCATGTTGGGGACACCGGCACTTTCTGCGTGCCCGAATTTAAATAGAAGCTCCATGGCCTTATGTGCACATAAGCTTCTGCGAGTTACTGCTGTCGGTATGGCATATCGACCACTCCCAGCCTGTCGGTTGACTTGATGGCTAAGGCCTTCTATCCAGCTACTTCATTCCAAGCGCAAGCGTGCGCCTGGTCAATCCTCCGAAATCTTGAGCTGCGATGCTGCTTCCGACTTTCAGTCGTTAACCGCCACTATGCGTAGTTCGACAACGTTGATTCAGGCCCCCCCAATTAATAAGGTTCTTCGGAATAATGCGAAGTTTTGGGCCGGGAGTCTTGGGGGCCAACTCCCCAAAAGCTAAGCTCCTCAACCCTCGACGCCTCAACCTCTCAACCCTCCCAACTGATTTGTGGTTACTTCCCCAAATAGGGGTACCCCTTTTATGCCCCAGGTAGAATAGAATAATCCCCTAAAAGGGACTCCCAGAAAGGGTACCCCTATCTTCGGAAACCCGCCCCCTCCCCCACCCCCATATCAGATTCTTGCCCTCAAAACGTGCGAAAGTGTTTGGGGGACCCTGAGCCCACGGCGATCGAGCACGCGAAGCACTGGACGGTCTGGAGTTTCCCTGCGCGTAGGGGAGGAGTGGATACAACGTAGGTCTCGGCATTTCTGCGCAACGTTTCTTTGCGAGTTTGTGTCTAGCCGGCTTTGGATCGGGTTATTGGGCATTTCGGACGCCACTCGCGTCGAAGTTTGCTGAAGTTTGCTTATCCGGCCAGCTTTTACAGAGGAGTGCAAGACTGCTCAACCCCCGACAACTGAAACATCCAACCTTCACAGTAGCGGCCACGCTGGCCGCAGGGCTGTTCAGACTCTTAAGATGTGGGTTTGGAGTAATTGTCATAAAAACCAACCTTTTCGAGGAGTGCGGAAGAGAGTTTTCTGCTTTTGCTGGTCTGAGGCTCTCCCTGACCTGCCCCGAAGAGGCCATGAAAACGAATGAGGGCCTACAGCATTTACTTGTAGTGGGTCGACATATCAGGGGCTACTTTAAGGCCCCTAAAGGTTCGGGCAGTTCCCTGCTTTAGCCGATAACTTGAATTTGGGAAACCGGGGGGGGGGGGGTGCAGAGGAGGTTCAAAGATTGCAGTGGCCTAGATTTTGTGGAGCTACAAGTTGGGGCTCTTTCAAGCCAACATGGCAACAAGTTAATTACCATCAAAGCGCATACCTGGCAACGCAGGAAAAATGCGCAGAGGTCCTTTTGCACACTTTGCTCAGTTCCCGTCAGGGTCTTGGATGCTTCCCCGGAGCATCTTCACCAAGATGCTCGGCAGCTTCTTCATCGAAATGGCACACTTTGTAAAACGATTTTTCTTCGGGCGTTGCAGATCTCTCATCGTCGCCGAACTTGTGGTACAACCTTGGCGACCGCACTTGTCGCGACAGCTTCTGTCGCCTTATATGGCGCAGCACAATGCCCTGATCTTCTGTCTCAGCTGTGTATACACTGGCCGACTCCTACAAGTGCAAGTTGTATTCTTTGCACATAAAATACCGATGTATAAATATACAATATGTATACATGCAACCAGCTTGGAATTCCGGATGCGAGCTTGGAACCAGGGATATAGGACACGCTCGAGACGGAAGTTGCGGATTGACAAACGGACGAAACTGGAAGGACCCATCTATAAGTCTATAACGACACAACACCGAAGATGCTGTGCACGCCCCGGTGTTCCAGTCACTGTCCATCCTCGGCCTCACGCCTGCAAGCATGGGACCTTTGGGGCCCTGGGATGTGGGACTTTCTGGGACTCCCTTAAACCCTAAACCCTAAACCCTAAACCCTAAACCCTAAACCCTAAACCCCTGGCTACAAGTACAGGGGCGCAGACAAGATGTGCATCGAAGGTTTTGCAGAGCCTGCTTCCTGCTAATCAAGGCAAGCAGGGCTTCCAGCTCCTCCAGCAAGCCTAGACTACCAGGACGGGCTATTATACCCTATCACCCCCTTAAAAAAGGCCCTTTTATAGAGTTGATTATGGGGATTATAGGGCCCCTTTATAAGTAGACGTCCCCCAAGCTCGCTTCAGCGTTCTCGTTCTTTAAGTTCGGGTTACGGGTCGTCTGCTCCCTCGCATCTGCAAAACGACTGGGCTGGGAACTCCGAGGTGCACTGCTTGGACCGCCGACATGCATTTAGGGATTAGGGTTTAGGGTTTAGGGTGCAAATCTGGCCTGGGCTGGCCCGGCTGGAAAGGTGGCGTGCGAAGGCGTTTACACTTGCTTGCGGACCAATTCCAAGTCCCACATAAACTGTACTTGGATACCAAACCAAAAAGAGCTTTCCGCCATTGTTGAAGCTGCTCTTAGTTGCTAAAGTTGTTTTAATAAGAAGATGGCCGCGGTTTGAATAGGACATACTACAGTAGGCAGTACTTCCTACACACAGCAATAAGAGGATCTCTGCTCCCTTTGATAGGAAGAGTTTTCCATAAGAATAATCAAGACTCGGACGAGCCGCCCTCGTCTTCTCAGTATGAAATCTCACAAAAGACGTTCACTTATTAAAATTAAGAGAACCGGGTCTCTTTTAGTGACGGATCTATTCGCAAGCATTCATCACCCATTGAAAATACGAAGAATTGGTAGGGCACTCGTAACAGCTCCTCTCAAGAAATTGCACCCTTGATCAGAAAATGAAATGAGCCCATCGGCTGTGTTTAGATCACTCATTCTCGCGAACGCAGAATCTGGCAGCCCCAGATATGACTGCACATAGGACCCCTCTGTGTAGCCAGATATGTGAGGAAGCAATTGGAAGACATCGACATTTACAACAGTTGCGGTCTTGCCCCAACTTGTCCCAGTTTGCGAGGCCATGAGTCAGCACACGGGAAAGGACTTCCTGAGATTTTATCCAGCCACGTATGGCACCAAAAAACCCGTCTTTCTCAGTATGGAGAGATGCCATGGAGGCTGGAATCTAGCCTGTGAGAGCCTTCGGGTCTGAGTAAATACAATGCAAGACATCGACACCCAATCCGCGACTCTTGTACATAGCATTGATTTGATGCTTTTTCAGAAGTCCCGGACTTTGCTTGGGGCTTGTGTATTTTGCATTGTGCTTCTTCTTTTTGTAGTAGTGTCTGTTGCTTTTGGGGGGAGCTTGCTCTTCCCGTGCTTTTGAAAGAATACGGGGAATCTCCTGCAACCCAAGTTTTCTTGTCGTGCAGCCAAGTGGCCTGAGACAAGGCAAAAACAAACTGTTGAGTAGGTCACTGGAGGGGTGGGGGGGGGTGGCTGGAGGGGGTTGCCATACACACACATATGTAAATGAAATGAACATATATATATATATATACATGTACGCATGTATATATATGTATGTATGCATGCACACACATCCACATACACAGAATGTGCACACAACAATTGTCCACCGTGCCCGTAGCCGCTGAACTATGTCGGCAACTGAGCAGGGCACTTGCACACCAGCATGGTCTCCGAGATGCCTCACGCAACACCGCAAATTCGGGCGTGCGGAGACATGCGGAACAACAATTCGCCGCATCCCCTGAGGTGCAGCCATGGTAGAGGCAGTGCTGTTCGAGTACTACGTAGAGACAGGCTCTGCAGATCACTCAAAAACGGACTTTAAAGCAGAGTGTGGAAGAAGCAACAAAGCCATGTCTGCGAGTATATTTCCTGAATCGCGCAACCTGCTTCATGGAACTTTGGTGTGTTCTTCGATGTGACCGGTCGTTGATTCGTGAGGCTGTTTCTGGTTCCGCCTGCAAGTCCGGGTCCGAGTTCATCGAGCACATTAAGTCGCCTTTGTCAGCCGAATCTAGCCGATGGTGTAGAATGTGGCCTGCACTCCGTCCTTCTATTCCATATTATAACTTCCTGGTCCTCCCTGAGACGGCCGTCAACTCGCACGCCAAGATTGCAAACCCTGCACCCTGAACATCCGTGAAGCCTAACCCGAAACTGCCCCCGGGCCTTGCTTCAGGGCATCCGGGCTGCTTGCAATGCTTGCAGTCAGCTCCCTCAGCCACTGGGCAGCACAACGCAGACTTTCGGGTTTAAGGGGCAGCTTGAGAACACAGGTTACTCCGGGCATGAGCAGTGTGAATGTACCTGTTGCTTAGAGCATCGCCCGCATCAGATCGCATCATCAAGAGTTACCATCAGCATGATCACAACCACCACCATGATGATCATGGCCGCAACGACCACGACCACGACCACGACCGCGACCACGGCTGGTACAAAGGGGGGTCGAAGGGGGTATAAGGGTGTATGCCTGCCAGGGGTATAAGGGTATAAGGGGGGGTGGTGGTATACAAGGGGGTGGTACAGCCGTCGTCGTCGTCGGCGGCGTTGGTGCCAGCACCACCACTCTTGTCACTACCATCACCCAACATGAAAACGGGCGCAGTGCCTCTTGCTCCTGCTCATGCGCCCATCAGTCAGACGAGCCGCAGATCATCGCCCAAGTAGCCCTCAATGGCATGGGCGGAGATGTTCACGCCATCTAAGCTCCAGGTGCCCGATGTCTCCTCGCCTCGGCTCCATGTGGTTCAAGAGTGGGACATTCGTTCATGCTGTTCAGAAGCACTATCCTTTTGCATGTGTTTTCTGACTGCGCTCCCTGTCACTGCTACACGGTCAAATTATATACGTGGCACCTAACTCGTGATTTCTCACAACTTGCGGCATGCGTCAAAGGCGACTACGGTAGCTTCGGGAACTGTCATGCTGAGATCACTGCTCGCCCACTCCTCTGCACTCCGCTGCGGGCAGCTTTCGCGCAGCGGGTCTTCCCAGTAGTCATCATACCACAAATACCTCGAGGTGGGGTTCACAACATGAGCAGGGGCTTACCCGATCCGGATAGAACAGGGTCTGGTCCAGGTCCCCTTTTGCTACTTTTCCGTTAACATAACCAGCTTTGTTCCCCACCAGGCCCTTTGCAAAGACAGCGTGCCTGGGGATTTTGAGGTGCCAGTTTTCCACTCGAAGCCTTGAAACCCACACCAGAAAACAAGCAGAATTGCAACCCGAAGCCCTAAACCCTAAACCCTGAACCCTCAAATCCAAGTTGCGCAGCGCGATGGTCTGGGTGCAGGATCAAGATGGAACATGCCCAGGCGGCATAGACACCGGCAACCTGGAACCCAGCTCCGGCGAAGTGGGGGGATGCCTACATTCTTTTGGGCTTTGGGGTTTAAGTAGGGTTTAGGGTTTAGGGTTTAGGGTTTAGGGTTTATAGGGTTCAAGCATGACAGACCCCATGTAACTCACTACTTCTCGACTTCGCGCGCTCACAGAGGTGTGACCATCAGCTGCTCTGCTTTCCACACCGGAACAAAGTCCCGTGCGCTTTCTCGTATCACGATCGCCGTGAGATCCTGGCAGTCCAGAATTAGGGTTTATAGGGTTAGGGTTTAGGGTGGTCATGATTCGACGGCAAGCAGCCCCTTGCAAAGAGAAGTAGAACTGTATAGCTCCCTGAGCCAACTACAAGTTGAATTATAGGGTCCTCAAGAAAAGGGGAGGGGGGGCTCCAGGAGAGGTATGCAACCCTAAGGACCCTATAAATGTAAGCAATCGTAGCTAGATCAGCTCACCTGCTGTGATACAGATCGCACAGCCATCAACCAAACAAACGGTCTGAGCTTGTCGACTCCACCGCTTGAGCCTGCTCATTCTTGTATATTCTTGCTAAGGGAGATTCATGACGCCACAGGTTGACAACTCAACCCAGCGAGCCGACGAGAACCGGAATGAATTGAACGAAACCCCGCGCTCCAGATCGCCACCGCTGTCCACATCCTCCAGTCGCTCGCCGCCCTGCCGGGATTGGCTATTCGGCCGAGGTTTGCTCAAGTCAAAGTTTCGAATATGGGCACCACTTCGGCCAAAATTCAATCTGACATTGTGGATCTATACTCAAACGCATGAGCCCTTGCAAGAGCACATAGGGCTGCGGACATTTTAGGATCACAGTATCGCGCTCGGGACTTGAAAGGGTCTGCATGAGTCCACGTTTGCGGCGTGGTCCGCTGTAGAAGGCAGCTTCATGCATCACGACAGGCCCGCTTGTGACCCCGGCGCAAACCGCGTAGCGAACAAAAATAGCTGTGAGGAGGAACTCGTTGGCGTTGGGAGGCGGGGACTCCCCAGGCTAATCAGGGTTCGACTATACCTGACATCTCAATCCCAAGCAGTTGCTCTATGCTCCGCGCTCTCTGCAGCCCTACAAGCGCAGTATCCCAAAGCCTCCAGGACCTTGCCATCCAACTGGAGCTTCACACGCACAACCCCGGTCACCTTGGGCTCCAGCTCCACCTCTTTGTGGGAAAAAGTCCATGGGCTTTCGGAACGCTGGGCTCAACATGGATTTTGAAGGACTCCCTGGTTCTTAGTGGGGAATGAGGGAGGTACCCTATATGTACTCTTAAAGGGATTATATAGGGTACCTCATTCCCTTATTCCCTACTAAGAACCAGCCAGAGGAACATGCTTTTGATTTTGATGGCATGAGAAGTAAAGAGATATGACTTCCTGGGTCAAAGCACGAGGGCCCGGGACGTGCGAGGGAAGACCCAACAACTCTGCATGCCTCTACCTTACAAATCTCTACCAACCTGAACCCAGGAGCTACAACCCTAAACCCTGAGCCGTAAACCCTAAACCCCTGAACCCTAAGCCCGAAACCCCTAACCCCTAAACCCCTAAGCCCTAACTCCTACCCCTAAACCCAAAACCCTAAACCGTAAACCCTAAACCCTAAACCCTAAACTCTAAACCCTAAACCCTCAGGCCTCAACCCTCAACCCTCAACCCTAAACCCTAAAGCCCAAAAAGCGGGCCTTGCTCGCAATGGCCGCCACGGTCCAGGCCGCATCGGCCTCAAGCGCTAAGAGCTCCTCCCCGCCGAGGCCTCAGATGCAAAGCTTGCAGGGTTTAGGGTTTAGGGTTTAGGGTTTAGGGTTTGGGGTTTAGGGTTTAGGGATGTTTAGGGTTTAGGGTGTTTTGAATGTTGGTTCGTAGGGGAATGGGGGAATGAGGTCCCCGTAAAATAACCAACAGCAAGTACCAGGACCGGGCGATTATACCCCTACAACCCCCTGCCCTTTATTGGGTTGATTATGGTGATTCTGGGGCCCAATAGCCCATCCTGGTATAGCAATCTAGAAAAATAGAGCTGAACAAATATCATCACACAGTAATGTACTGATATGGTATAAAAGGCCAGTCCTGTGGCATTTTCACATACTAATCCAATGCCGTATAATAATGTAGTAATAGAACTAATATAACTGCCTCCGTTCTTTTGGTGTGTTTTGAGGTGCTTCTGTACACGCTTCTCCAAGCAAAAGGGAGCTGAAGGTTGGGGTTACGAAGGTTCTCTGGCGAGAGGGCTGTGAGCTTGAAATGGCTGTGGAGCTTCGGTTTGTGCGCTTCAACATCGGTAACCTTCGTTGCCGCTTTCGGCGTCGCGCTCGTAGCCAGGAATGCCACAGGTTCCAGCAGCACTATAGGAGTTTCATGACTGTTGCCGTCTGAGGAGCTGCGGACAACAACGCGGAGCGTCTTGGCAGCCTCAGCCTGTCATGGAAGGTGAAACCGACGTGCTCTCAACGGTACGCAAACACGTGAGCCAGGATCGGCACCGTTCCCAGACCTCACATCGCTACACCCTTCCAAAGCGGTTCTAAACCTGTTGAAAAAAAATCCTGGTCGAAGCCCCCTCTACGTAATGCAGAACGACCCTCAGTGTGTGCCAAGGAGGGACTCCATCCCCTTCCTCCTCTTTTTCTGGCTCGGTGCCCTTCGTGCCCTCGGTGCTCATGGCCTCCACACGGCATCCGGGTTCTCATGCTAGCCCAATAGAGCCTGAACAAAAAAGGGGTTACCCAAAGACTACACTTCGAAGAGCAGCAAGCAAACACAACCCCATCCGCAAGTAGCGCCCTGTGTATGTTGGCCCAATGCCAGCACAGACATGAGACCCCCCCCATGGCATCTTGGCTTTCTTTCACCAATTCTGGAAGACATTAGAGCACAAGAAAGAGGAAGCTCGCCCAAACGACCTAGCCAAGCAAGCACTGATCCTCCATCAAGCTTCTTGCCGTCGAATCGCCGCTTTGTTCAGCAGAAGCTGCCGCTTTTCGGACAGGAGTCACGGTTCAGGCGGGGGTCAAGGTTGGGGCGTGCCAGCTCTGGTCCGGAGCTGTTTCCGTGTGATCTGAGAGTGGCAAGTCCCTAGGTCTACAGAGGCTATGACGTGAAGACTTGTGAACTTAACGGAGAACCAGCACCAAAAACAGGCTTGCCATGCAGAGGTCCAGTGTGCTCTATTCAGACAGGGCTCTTCTTATAGCAGCGTGGCCGGGCTGCTGTGTTCAATGTCAATTTGCACTTTCAGCTGCTTTGGGCCAAAGGAGCCACGTAGGTCGCTCCAAATAGCAGCAGCGCAAAGCAGGGTGTGAGTCTGCTGTGTCATCTCAATGTGAAGGCTCTGCTACACTCCGCAGTCAGCTGCAACCAGCGAGTCACTTCCTCAAAGCCCATTCGAGTCTGGTGCCATGGGAGCTGCAGACACGTGTAAGACTCGCTTTGGATGCACAAGCAAACATGCTGGAGATGGGCAAGGCTTACGTAGGTCGTCGATCGAGAAGAGAGTGTGCCACTTCTCCTGCCATCATGACGTCTTCGTGCATCAGGTAATGTCTCTAAACAAGTGCACTGTATCACGGTGTCTTTAACTCTTCTGCTGACTGGAGTCGCGCTTGCTTAGCCTAATTTAACAAAAGCAGCGACCCATACCTGGATCATCTCATTGCTGGCACCACTGGTACGGACAAAAGGCAAAAGTACTCAAGAACATGATCAGCCTGAGTTCCAGGTCAATGCGCATCCGTCGCGTGGTCTCAACCTCTCTAAAGTCGAATGCATCATCAACTACTGCACAGAATTTGACATCACTGTCCAACTCGGCAGGATGGAGTAGGATAGAACAGGCATTTCCTGCCCTTGAACTGGTTTCTTGGGTCGGACTTGGCTTTGTTTTCTTTTTGGCTTTCGGACAACGTGAGATGACAGGAGAGGAAAGAGATGAAGAGGAAAGAGATGGCAAGCACTAGGGCCCACACAGCATCCTGGTATGCTGCTCGAGCTTCGTCTCGTTGATCCTGCCGCGCATGGTCTCCGGGTTTAGGGCTGCAGAGTTCAGAACAACTGATTCTACCATGTTAGAGATGACAATCAATGTGTAGTCTCAGAATCACGAACTGCCATGTGTGAGTGGCAAGGATGTGGTGGGTATGTGGTCAGGCTCTTGCCACGCCTCGAGGTATTGCAGGTGGCGATGGGTCGCCTGAAGGGCCGTGACACTTCAAGTGTAGGACGGGAATTTATGAGAGACACTCATGGTGGCATCTTGGCACCGAGCCTATTAGCCCAGCTAGCAAAGCCAGGTGCGCGTTCAACAAGAAACTGCAGTATCTTCAGGGAACCTTTGCCTCACAATGCGCCTTCTGGTTCAACCATCGGCACGCCATTCGAGCAAGCTCTCGCCCACGTAGTTCATGAAGCCGGTCACTGCACATTTCTTGTGAAGGTTGCGCGTGCACTCCGTTCTCAACGCTGCGCCGCCCAGAGCCTAACAGCTTTGCATCCTCGCATGCACCGCCAGCCCAGCACAACCGTGCCAATCATGCGCGCGCAGGGTCTTCTAGGCACCCCGCCTTCTTCGTCGAAGCTCCAGTAGCAGTGGGCAACCCCGGCTCAATACAAGCAAGAGATGAACAGTAACAAAACTTGGTTTTGTTGCGAATTCAGCCATCACCGGAAGGAAGCTGATGACGGCCCCTGCCAGCCATGTACAGTTTTGGGTCACAATGAGTCAGTATGTGGCTCAGGGCAAAAGCCAAACAAAAATGCTGAGCCTCACCTTTGCAAGTAGGAAACCGAAACCGAATTCCTGAAGCAACTTGAGCCTCCTCCTGAAGGCTCTTCTCCGCCTGAACGCCATGGATTGTGGGAGGCATATGGAGGTTTCTGAAATTGGGGGGGGGGGGGTACCATATTTGGGTCCTTGTTTTCAGGGAATACTACTATTTGGGGGTCTACTATATTAGGGCCTATTAGGGGTCCCTTATTTTCGTAAACCCCAATATGGAACGCGGTACATGCTACATTAGTACAGCTGCTCCCTTGTCGTAACATATCATCACAGAGGCATCACCACGAAACACTGGCTCTGTACTCGGTCTCTCTGCAGGTCATAGAGGGATTCCCGTCAGCCGGACTGGCTCTACTCCTGGCGGGTCGAACGTTCATGCCTAGCTGTCTCGCTTCTATGTTGTCCTATGACTGCCAGGTTGCCAGGAGTAGAGGAGGCGATCGGAGATCGCAGAACCATACTACAACCTACCACCACTGTTGATGGCAACTACCTTCCGGAAACTGAGCTTTGGCCGTCACAAAGCCGAAATACTGAGGGTTTTTTAACGTTAAAACATCCTAAATTTTCACGTTCAAAAGCCCTAAATGAAACCCTACACTCCACAAAAGGGCTCCAAAACCACAGCACCCACCTCGTTCCAGAGCGAGGCGCGGACATCACTGATGGGGAAGGCCTGCACACGACGGTCTCAGGGCCCCCGAGGATCCTAAGCATGAAGTACATGTCCTTAGTGGGGCTTAGGCACCTTAAACCCTTATACCAGGATGGGCTATTCGGCCCTAGAATCCCCACAATCAACGCTATAAATGGCCTTTTTAAGGGGCTACGGGGTATAGTATAGTAGCCCGTCCTGGTACACCCTTGAACCTTCAGGCTTTGCATAGAGGGCCTCTTGATCGGTGTAGTTGTTCAGGGCTGTGCGGCTTGGCATGCAGGATTTTGGCTCAGTCCCCACATTCACTATTCACATACCATTGTCACCATGGCTCCATCCAGGAAAGGATACAAATACCGGTGGCAGCTTCCAGGTACCATACTTGCAGCTCGACCACTCCACAGTAGCCTATATACTTTACCAGTATACACACAGATTCTAGATATGTGTCTGTACATTTCTCCATTGATATAAAAGTTGGAGGTCGTGATTTACCTGCTTGTAGCAGGGCCATGGCCGGACATCCGAAAGCCTCCCTATACCACTCCCCCACAGCTCCGCTCGCAGACCTGCTTGCCTGACTTCTGAACCCCTCCTAAAGTTTAACTTTTAGGTTCCTGATTGTAGTTTCTACAATAACCCAGAAGGTTAAAGTCCCAACAGCCAGCCAGAAGAAAGCCAAGCCTGCGTAGCCCGGCTTCGCAGCGCAAGGCACAGCTTCTGGAGCTGCTCCGACGCTAGCTTGCCCAGTTCCCTGGCTGTCAAACCCTCATGAGGAGAAACTGTAGTTAGGGTTTAGGGTTTGGGGTTTAGGGTTTGACGTCCCTTGATCAGCCTATGGCAGTGTTGGGCCATCAACACCAGAAATCGCGGCAAACATTCGAAGCATCTTTGCTTCCCACCACCTCTAGCTCCAGTTCTTCGTACCGAAGCCATAGACGCTGCGGTGGGCCTCTCCATCTGCCACGCGGAGTCACCCTCGAGCCAGCCTCGGAACGAAGCGTGGGGTGCTCTGGGGCTTCTGATAGCATTTCAGGAATTTGGGGTTTAGGGTTGAGGGTTTTGGGGGTTCAAGGTCCTACGGCATAAAAGGTTTGAAACAGGGTTTTAGAGGCCGCGTCTCGGACTCTTGGTTTAGCATGCAGACAAGGGACACAAAACCACGTACAGGTGCCGTTCATCGAAGAACCTCCCCCCACCCCATACAACTCCTGATCTATGATGGCCCTTAAAACTCTCTGCAAATGTTCCTGGACATGATCCTCCCAAACCCTATCCCAAGGGCCTACCCAGTGATGGAACAACCTCTGGGGTGCCAGTGGCACAAAGCAAACATGGTGCCGGGCGCTCAGCCATCTCCTCCGGATCAAAAGACCCAACGCCCCCTGCATGGCGGCTCTTGGCTGAGTAGTTTAGGGTTTAGGGTTTAGGGGTTAGGGTTTCGGGTTTGCTGTGAGAGTAGTCGACAAGAGGCGGCGCGATGGGCAATCCATGAAGGCCCCGATGCCCTAGAGAATGTCCTCTCAAGTCCTGAAATCCAGACCCCTCAAAAACCCTAAACCCTAAAGCCTAAAGCCTAAAGCCTAAACCCTAAACCCCCTAAATCCTTCTTCAGCCAACCTTCTTAGAAGCAGGCCTATGCCAATGCGGTCACCAGCATCCCGCGGCGACTCTGTGGGTCCGGGCATGCCTTTCACAGCCCCAAGGGCTCTTAGGGCTTATAGGGTTGGTTCCTATTGGTGGTTAGGGGTTTAGGGTTTAGGGCCAGACGGTTTAGGATTTAGGGTTTCTATTGGGTATTGTTGGTGGCAGGGCTGGGGTTAACGGCAGCTGGGGCGAAAACTCAGCGCCGGCGCAGATTACCCTAGACACTAAACCCTAAACCGTAAACCGCAAGGACGTGAAGCAGCAGCCTTGGGCGACAGCCTTGCGCTGCGTCAGTCCTGCGTGGAAACGGCAAGGTCCCAGGACGGGCTACTATACCCTATAACCCCTGACAAAAAGGTCCTGTATAGGGTTGATTCTGGGATCCTGGGGCTATTATACCCTCTAACCCCCTTAAAAAGGCCCCTTATAGGGTTGATTATGGGGATTCTAGGGCCTCATAGCACATTCTGGTCCGGTCCCAAAGTCCAAGCAAGGGGGCTCCTCCTTCCAGAGCAGGTCCGAGGCTCCGTGGGCCTCTGGCAATGAAGAGAGTTCCGAAAGAATGGGAGGGTTGCTTTGGTCAACAAGGTTTGGCAGCATTCTGCATCTTGTCGCGGACAGCGTTCGCAAAAACAAGCTACAGGACACCAACAGCCAGTCACGCCAGTGGCATGCCAAACAACCTGAGCGCTGTGTCTTAGGCGCTTTTTGACAACCAAGTCGGCTCTCAGAGGTCAGTCTGTAGAGGCTGCGGTCATCGCCCATAGCAGAGGTTCTGATGCCCACAAAGGCCCAAAACCTTTACTACTGTAGCTTTCAACCGCATGTCTATGTGTTGAGAACACGTTTGGCTGATGAGCGTGCCACTAGCAGCTCACACAGAGCCCGGATACCAAATTAGCCCAAGGCCTTGATTCTTCCTTGTAGCGTTCTGCTTGATCTTGAGGCTCGCTGTCACAACTCTCGAGATGAGAAACGTTTTCTGTAAATGTTGAGGATCTCTTTCGGAGTCGCGTTGTTGGGGGGGGGGGGTGGAATCTTGCTGTGGCGTGCACGTCGCTATTAATATTGAGTGCACTTAACAAACCGGTACCTGGCATGCTTGCGTTCTGCTTGAACCCTTGTAGACCGCTTCGCGCCAGCATGTCTGCCATGGGGAAAATGGCTCCTCCATCCTAAAGGAGCTCTGGAACGCGCAAAACAAATGCACGGGGGGGGTACTATAATCCCTGTTAGGGACTGATAGTATCAGGGGGAGCATCCCACATGTAGAGCACAAGAAGGTGTGAACACACGCGGGCATCATGCTGACACGCAGGCCTCCTTGTTGGATGCTCCTGGCGGTCTCCTCCTTGGTGATCTCAAGAGTACCTGGAAGGGTTTAGGGTTTAGGGTTTAGGCTGTCAACAATCAGACGTTCAATGACGTTCACGTGTCGTGTTTCGATGCACTCACTGTTCCCGGCCCTCTCAGAAGCTCATGCCCCATGAGAGAGCATAAAGCTTATGGAAACTTCGTCGATCAAGAAGCGGTCCCTTTTTCCATCAAGCGATCCACCACCAAATGCCGTCCGGACCAACTTGAAGTTGCTGGCCCGGCGGCAAGTGCCTCTCCAAGGTTTAGGGTTTAAGGTTTAGGGTTTAGGGTTTAAGGTTTAGGGTTTAGGGTGAAGAATGAGTCAAGGATGTAGGACTCTGGGGTGCAGAAAGAACAGGGACACACAGACATCGTCTGTTGGTGTTTGCAGGGTTTGTGGAGTACAATGACGCGACATGGCTTGACTGCTCTAACTGAATGCTACGAACCGCTACTGGCATGGCGGCGGATCTTGCTTGCTTCGGTGACAGTCTGGCTGCATCAATAGTCGTACTTGTGTAGGATCCTACTGGTGTAGGACGACCAGAACGGCCAGCCCGAACGCCCATCGTTTACGGTGCAATTGATGCCTGCGTGCGCGAACAGCAACCGCAACTCTGCGAACTGGCTAAACGTGTGTGAATGTGCTCATGGTTGGAGTGCTGAAGTGGTACAGGCACTGGGCGGCAAGATCACAGAGGAGAAGCAGAAAGGGAAAGAAGATGTCTTGGTTTTGCTGTGTCGCCGTTGAGGGATCTGCTTATGGCAACGGCGGCTCTTGAACTCGTGTGGTGTTCGGTTGCCCGCTTTGAACCGGAAGTTGGTTCTCGGGCACAGACAATTGCATGCATGATGTTCGCTTTACCCGCCTATGTACAGCCTGGACCACATCGAAGGCATCAGGCAAGCCTTGGGCATGCAAAAGATGTGTCAAAGAGCGGCTGCGCTTCGGGTATGCTCAGAGCAAATAGAATACAGGCAGGGCTTGCGTGTCGTGAGGTTGCATGAAACCTCGTGATGGGACGACCGCAGGGTTTGAGAGGTGTCGTTTATCTTCGAATGTTCCCAAAGTAGAGCAGTGTAACGCTGAGATAGAGCATGGCAAATGCGCAATTAGAGCCGATGAGCAGAATGAACATACTACGACCAACAGAAACAACCAAAAGCAAAACGAGGACCACCGCATTCCTTCTCAGCGAAACAAGTCTGGGATCTGATTGCGCTCCAAGTGGCGATAGTCATGCCCGGCTACCTGACATGGAGGAGGGGGGTTTTGTTCCACTCTCTTTGAGTGCTCGATCCAGTCTTATCTTTCTTTAATGTTGAAACCTTGCGCATGAGCTTTACTTTAACGCAGAATGCCATAATGATTCCGACAACGTTCGAAAACTCATCGAAGCGGCTTCCGAAGACCCACCAAACCCAGGGGGTCCATTTGTAGTACTATTCTGGAATTAGGTACACCAAAACCATACTAAATAGGGTTTTGGGATACCTAGTTCCTTCAGACCCTCTGGCTATACTCCCCTCAGAACCTCACTAAAAACAATATTTCCAAAATCCTCGTGGGTTTTATATAAAACAACAGCAGCCAAGGTGCCAGGCCACCCGGGCGAACGCGTGGGGCCCAAAGCCGGAGGTCCTGGTCGACAGATGCGAAGTCGTGCTCTCCATCGATGAAGATCTGATAGGGTTTAGGGTTTAGGGTTTAGGGTTTAGGGTTTAGGGTTTAGGGTTTAGGGTTTAGGGTTTAGGGTTTAGGGTTTAGGGTTTAGGGTTTAGGGCGAGGGTTTAGGGTTTAGGGTTCAGGGTATGGGTTTCGGGTTTAGAGTTTTGAGCCGCCTGGGGCTTGGAGTTGAACTCGGTTTCGGATTACATCTGAGGAATTCAAGGGCTCAGGAATGTGGGAGACCTTCTAAGTTTAAGGGCATTTGTCAAACTTCCTGACACTGAATTCAAGACGCCAAACAACCCCAAACCCTGGGATGTTCCCCCGTATACTAACAGTCCTTAATAGGGATTATAGTTCCCCCGACTATAATCGCAATTAAGGACTGTTAGTATAAGGGAGAACATCCCAACCCTAAACCCTAAACCCTAAAAGGCCCTAAACCCTGAACCCTAAACCCTAAACCCTAAGCCCCCAGCCCTAAGCCCGAAACCCTGCACGAACAGTTGTGATTCCAAGCATCCACATCCAAGTTTGCGACAGCCCATCGGGAGCGGCAGGTGTGCAGCGGACTGTGGCCTGGAAACATGGGAGCAGAACCCGGGTTCAACAAAAATGTAGAGATATACTTCTATGCATCTTCAGATGTATACTTTTGTCTATTTATTGTCTCAAAAAAGGATAAATATGAATAACTAAATAAGTTCAGAAATAAATACTTGTACATATACATATATATATATATATATATATATATCATGAACATTGTTTCTTATATAGGGAAGATATGGACCGTAGAACACACACAAGCGTGGACATCTGGAGCATCGCTTCACACTCAAGACAAAACTGAAGACCTGCATGTCGGGACAGCTCAGGAAGGCGAAACAAATGTGCGAAACTTCAGCGCGCAGTAGAGGGCGGTTCAAAACCCTGCTAAACCCAAAACCCTCTTCTGGTGGTTTTTGAAGGAGACCCCCTTCTGAATGTGCAACACTTCAGCTCGCACTCCAGCTCAACGACGATTGCTGCCAAGCTGCTGGCTTGAACTGACGTGCGGCGGCAGAGGTGCGCCCTCTGCCCGAATCGCCGAAGTCTGTCGCGGACAAAGCAGGGCTAGTCTGGGGAACTTGCGCTTTTGGCGGGAGTTGTGATGAGTTGTGAAAGCAAGCAACTTGTCATTGTACTTGCTCGCATATTGAAACTTCGGGGCCCCACAAGAAACAGAAGCCTGGAACAAAAGTGCAGCCGATTGTTCTCAGATTTGGTAAGGGGCGGGTGGGTTTTCGAAAGTTTTGGGCTTTGGGATCAAGCTGGTCTAACCGCCTATATGGAGGTCTTGGCACAAATCTTTTTTGCGACTCTGTTCCCAAAGAGCGAGGTCTGGGCACCATACCGTGAGAGACCACTTGGCTGTAAGCTGTCTCTCGAGCGCAACTGTCAGGCCTCTGCACAGATGTGCGAAAATGCTCGGCAGCTCCGAAGCGGAGCAGCTGTTCTTCTGCGGTCCTGCATGTGGGTGAGGACTAGCGACAGTTAAGCGAATCCAACTCACACTAAGTCTGGCACTGTGCGACAGCTACCGCAAGCACACATCTGGAATGCAGCTTGTAGTTACAGGGCGGGGCCTTCCCTCATAGCGGCCTTTGTATGGATCGATTCCTTGCAACATCATACACATGAGGGCATGCACAATTTCTTGATCCATGCCCACATACTTCTATGTCCATGCCAAACGAAGGCCAAAGAAAGCGCTTATCGGCAGCAATATACCTTTAAAGCTTCTTTAATCTTCAGAAAACCCGCTTGTTCCTGAATCTTGTGCATGAGGTTACAGTTACAATCAGTTACACGTTGGGACGGCCATCAAGGGGCCTGAGCATGGCTCAATCTGGCCCAGAGGCAATTGTGCAAAGCATTGGCGGCTGTAGGCTATACATGCCCCTCAATGGTTTCACCATGCGAAGAGTCGATTTTCCAAATGCAAAAAACTGCTCCGCTCCAAACCGTGCCTTGTGCCCCTTCACAGACTGTCCCAACTAAATTCCTGCTATGCCAGGGATCCCAAGTAATGCAGATGCCGGTGCTTTTGCAGGAGGTGGACTGCAAGATTGGCGCGGTGAACGCCCACCTCAACCTTAACTTCTCAACGTCTCACTTCTCGAATCTCTCGAACCCTAAGCCCTTAAGCTTTGTCACTCAGCTTGCGCTGTGCGTCACAATGAGAATTCACGCCGAACTGCCATGTATATCTTGGAAATCTTGGTCTTCGGGAACGCCAGTCGCAGTAGGGAGCCTGAGTCACAGACAACTCCTTTAACAACCGGGCGTTGGCGACTCCCGGAGCTTCCACATGTAGTAACTATAGCACAAGATTTCCCAAGATGCTTTTTCTTGCTGGCATCAATCCTAAAAAAGAGACCCTACTGATGCACCCTAATCTCGCAAGAGGAATATCACTTTGTAGGCACAGAGTCCGAGTAGATGCAGCCTGACAATAAACAAAACAGAGGCCCGCAAGGGGACCATAGCCTACGGCACCCCACCCCCCCCTCCCCTGACACGCAGCCAAAAGATGCCAAGGCACTCATGGCGGAACCTTGAATGTCCACGTGGTCAACTATGTCGCCTCCGGCAGCGGAGGTAACTCGGTATGCAAAGGCTTCTCTTGCTGTTTTGAGGCCTATTGGGGCTTCAGAGCTTCGAGTGTAGCGCTTGGGAGCTCTTTCGCATTATACGAGGGGAGCCAACTGCTAGTGATCATCGTCATCTAATTGTGCTTAGTGCTTCGTCAGAATGATTGCTCAAGATTCCATGCTGCACTGCATGTGCAGTATGTATGTTGAAACAGATGGACATTGCAGACATAGCGTTGATCGTCTCAAGCACTTACAGGTCCATGCCGGCCTGGATCCATGCCAAGCACAAGATCTGGTAGCATCGGCCGCGGCCTAAGGTGCTCCCCAGCCGAAAGAGCGTTGCTAGGCTCAACAGGCAGGCTACATGCCTTGATGGAGCTACCTTGACAAAGCTCCTCTGAACAAGTGTGCCTGGCACATCATTCAACAAGTAACCGCCTTGCACACATCGAAACGTACTCAACTGAAGGGGGCAGCTTAACCCTCCATCCCCTCCCTGCAAAACGAAAACAAAGAGCGAGAATCGCCTTGCAGCCGCCTGAACCCGAAGCTTGATACGGTTCACTTAGAAACTTAGAATACGGCCGCTGGACGCAGGTGGCGGGAAGAGGGTCCAAAGCAAAGCCATCTCCAGCTGGAGCTGCACCTGGTAGTAGTTTGCTTGGGGTTTAAACTCCCCAGAGGGTCCGCTTTGTAGTACTAGTATGGAATTATAGGTACCCAAAAACCGTACTAAATAGAATTTTTGGGGTACCTAATTCCAGAATAGTACTACAAATGGACCCTCTCGGCTCTAGGGAAGCTACCATAATGAAGACCCATAAGTAGGGCACAGGTGTTGCACGGCCACCCAGCGCTTTTGGGGGTGCAAGGAGCCGACGCTTGTTCATTGATGCATTTGCAGACTCTGCTAAAGGCATACCTAAACCCTAAACCCTAAACCTAAACCCTAAACCCAAAACCCTAAACCCTAAACCCCTTTCTGTACCCTCAGGCTGCCGCGATGTAGGACCAGCTGGTCAAAACCTTGCTGTTCCAAGGTCTTGGGGTTCCGCGAACTTGCCGGGGGCTTTCGCTTGAGTGCACAAGTATCACGTGCCTTTCAAAGGGATGACTCAGAGTCGAACCGAGTGCATGAAAGGTGAAAGGAGATTAGAAGCCAAGATCGCTGCGAAAAGTTTGAAGGCTGTAGCAAGATCTCCCTCTGTCCTACCAGTTGAGTCAGAAAAAAGGCAGTGCAGCTTAAAGGAGTTCAGCAACATCCGAATCCTTACTGTGACAATGTACAGCACCTTGAAACTTCAGGTGCGGTAGCTCAAGTGATCGTGGTTTGTCTCGAGAAAGCACATGCATGATGAAGTGCCGATACGGGCTTGACTGCTTTCGGCAACATCTAGCTCCGCTAGCAGTGCTGGTATAGAGGAGTCAATAATATTGAGCATACTGCCCAGCTGAAAGCCATGCAAAATTATGAAAGCCGCTCTGCCCTTCAAGCCCTAAACCGCAAATTGAACCCAAACCTTGAGTGCAGGTTTCATGTGACCTCAATCATCAATCCGTGACGGCGTTCTTGCTGTTTCACAATTCGCTCAGAGTGGCTGCTGTCAGCTGCGCCATTCGCGCATGCATTGTCCAGCACCTGGCAGTGTGGAACCATTTGGTTGCCAACATTTCATGTGCATGAGTAGCTTCGGAGCTTTTCTGGGTGTTTGTGAGGCTCTTTCCAACTGCAGCCAACCACTCAGAGGCCACCACCACCTTTCAACGTACATGCCTTGTGGAACATCCGAATACCAATATAGAAGCAATTCCTCCTGGAATCTCCTGGATTCGGATTGACCGCGCTAGATTGTATTATACCGTGACAGGCCAGGCGCGTCCACATGGCGCCGCAGGTACGGGCATCGACAGAAGGATACGGACTTGGCCTGGGATCTCACTTCTGGAGATGATACACAACAAATTGCCAGAATATTCAGCAAGTTATGCGTCCTAAGCGGGCTGAAATCGCTTACATTTTGGGCTTCGGGGAAAGAACAACCCTTCATTCTCCACATATCGTACGTGTTCGCAGGTGCGTGCGCGTCCGATTTACGCATCTAGCACCGGCATGTGTATTTGCATATGTCACATGTTCATACAAGCGCAACATTCAGGGCCATGATCAAGATACATTGCAGCCCACAAGAAAAGATTGCTGATGTTGTTCTCGTGATGGCTGTTAGCATGTGCTCGTTCCTCTCTGAGGCATGACTGTATGGCACTCTTAATAAGGGCAATTCTCGTGTACACGTTCTATGCGTGTGATCGGGCTGGAGATCGTCCCTGTTGCGGTGTCATCTCTCGCTGCCTTCTTTGGGCACTCTTCGGATGCTCATGGCTGTAACATGAAACGAATGAACAGCATGGGAGGATCATCGCTCAACTAGCTTCTCTCACAGACTTTCTGCGAGCTGCAACTTCAGCCTGTGCCGCCAGCTGTCGTTGCTTCTTCAGCAGGGCCTTCTCAGCGCGCTCCTTCCGTTGCTCTGCACGGCGCTCAGTGGCCAAAGCCTTGCGATGCTTACTTTCGTCCCACATCGCCTTATCTGGTATGTGATCCGCAACGGCCGTCCATGGAAGCTTGCAGCAGGGAGACGCCTTTGTGCAAGCTATGTAGTCCGAGTCCACCTTTGCTATCCTTTCCATGTGGCCCGTGGTCAGTGAGAAGCCCGCCGCAGAATTTGAGAGTATTCGCTCAGGTCGCACAGACCTCGGGAGCGGAATGTAACCCATCTGCATGCTCCATCGTACGGCAACTTCCGCTTCGCTGCGCCCCAACTCGCGTGCGATGTTTGCCACATCGGTCTTCTCAAACATCTCGCCCCGCGCCAGTGGTGCCATACACATCGTTGTGATTCCATGCTTCTGGTGGTAAGCTGTCAGGTCTGGGAGTTGCCTCCAGCAGTGGACCTCAACCTGCATTTTCCGAAATTTTGTGGGTATCTGGTGGAGAGGCGCCTGGAACAAGCAGACAAGGAAAACGGAAGGGAGTTCCAGGCTGGGCATCTGGAACCCGACCAACCCCCCCCCCAATCCCCACCCTCGCCCGCAAACCCCCAAGAAATTCCTCTAAATTCTGCAGAGCCGGCGGAACAATTTCTTTCATGACACCCCCCCTTGAGACTCCTCTGGGACCCTCCCGGGAACCCCCCCTTAAGTGGGTCCCCTCCAACAACCTCTTGCGCTTCAAACCCCCCTCTGTGGTGCTGCACCAAGGCTTTCCTTCGTCTGCGGTGCACATGCTACACCCTGCTTTGGCTCAGCCGCAGCCCGGCTGCCGGGTTAGCGCGCGCAAGCGCTGACAATTATGGGCAGTTTTTTGGGGCCGGGGGGTGCTTTAAACAAGGCTACCTAAGCAACAAGTTGTTTGGGACATGCCCACCTGGTTCACTTCTGGGAGCTCCAACCCGGAGCATCGCAGGCCTTCGAGCTGTTGCATTCCGAAGTTGGAGACCCCCAAGGTACGGATCAAGCCTTCATCTCGGAGTGACAGCAACTGTGCCCAAACCTTACGGATGTTGCCACCCCGAGGACTCTGCAGCAGGTACATGTCGATGCAATCGGACTGCAAGTTCCGTAAGGAATCCTCCAGAGAAGCACGCACAGCATCGGGAGAAGAGTGTGCATGCTGAAGGAGCTTTGTTGCGATGCAGACCTCCTCTACGCCAGCCTCCCGAACACCTTCGAGGATAGCTGACTCCATGCCTGAGGACAGGCTCGTATCAATCAAGCGATACCCTGCCTGCATCGCGACTATCACAGCATCCACGAGTCTCTTTCGACCGTCTTCCCAGTTGACACCTGGGTCCCGAGAGCCGCCTGGTCTGCCAGTGCCAAATCCCAGCCGCGGAATGCGAAGCCCGCTGCGCAGCTGAATGCTCTGAGGCTCACTAGGCTCAATAGGCTCAATTCCTCCTCCGATTCCAGATGCAGGAAAAGGTTGCAGGGCTGAAAATAGACCACCCTGTCTGGATGACAGCAGCCAGGTCACCAAAACGCCGCAGCCGCTACTCACCAAATGCTTGCCGGAATGGTTCACGCGGAGACGCAGAGTGGGCATAGAGGCAAGTGCAATATCATGAGAACTACACGTGCATCGCGCTGCTGAACAACTTGGTCCAGATCGGCTTTGGCTGGTTTCTAGCACTGTTCGCGTTTATTATCCGCAGCTAAACTAACACTGGGATCAGCAAGGGAAGCTCACCCCGAATTCCAACCGGTGCAGAACCGAACTCCCTCCTCTGCCCCCTACTGCAACGGCTGAGCTAAACCCTAAACCCTAAACTTAAACCCTAAACGCAAGGCTGCCAATGTACTGTCTTTTCTGCTGGCTGGTGGCAGGTGCATGCACAGGCTTGATGTCAGACTCCACAGCTCCGACTGCAACACTTCGATGGCCCTCCTTAGGGGCACAGATGCAGGTCCACATGTTTAGTAGGGTTTAGGTTTCGGGTTTCGGGTTAAGGGGTACTAGGGGTATTGAGAACAAGGGTTCAGAATCAAGAGTTGGTTGCAGTGTCGCCGTGTCTGTGGACATGTGTACAACGGCTTTTTGCAGCTGCCAACGGCTGACCTACCCTGGCACGAATCGGAATCGGCTGAGGATGCCCAGATCCTTACATATTTGTTTCTGCGCTGAGTTTTCCTCGACTCGTCCATATCTGCACAAGAAAAAGAAATTTCAGCACCCGTTGCCCCCTCAACCCTCAGCCCTAAAACCAATGAACCCTAAACCCTTCAACCATTACCATTGCCCAGACCATAGCTACGCTGCAAGCAAGGTGTCTCTGTAGCCGCCTCAATCCAGCTCGGAACGCTGGCCGTTGCGGGCCATGCTGGCCGAAATCTCAGACGCTCAGGAACCTCCTTGGCTAAGTGACCTGGGCGGGTGGCGCGATGTGGGAAGGGATCAGCATCCTTGAAATCCACACGAGTACTACCAAACAGTAGCAGCTCTTGTGCAGTAGCAGACGTAGTACTAGTAGTAGTAGTAGTAGTAGTCGTCGTCGTCGTCGTCGTCGTCGTCGTCGTCGTCGTCTGCAAGATCTGCCGATGCTTTGTAATATGGTACAACTCTCCGCGCAACACTGCCAATCCACTGGTCACAAGCCAAGATTTGAAGATTTGTGTTTACGAAAATAGGGGGCACCAATTTAGATCCCAAAGTAGTAGGATTCCCTTATTATAGTAAGGACCCCAACAAGGTACCCCGAATTTAGGAAAACCCCATTCAAATCTCTGAAAAGAGCCCCCGAGACCAATCGCAGACCGGCGACGAAGGGACTTGTGGATCTGCTGGCAACCCGAGTCAAAGCCTGCCTTGTTGTGAGTCACCAGAGCAGATGGAGGTTTCCCAAATTCGGGGTACCTTTCTTATTTATACGGAAATCCTACTATTTGGGGGTCACTTTTGGGGTCCCCTATTTTCGTAAACTCCCAGATAACGCATGACTGTAGCCAAGTCGGGACCTGCCTAACATTCTGTAGCCCTAAACCCTAAACCCTAAACCCCCTAACATTCTGTAGTTGCGGCTGTAGGAACCCAGTGGTACATGTCCGCCAAGCACAACGTGGCCATCTGCGTGGTAAGGATGATGATGTGCATCAGGGTACCTCGGTAGGCTTGAGACATGGGGGGTTTACGATATTACGGGTGCCTCATTGGGGTCCTTTAAAAAAGGGGGTCCAACTATTTGAGGGTCTATGTTAGGGGTCCCTTATAATCATACACCCCCCACATCGTGAGACACAACCCCAGGGCAACTACCGACAACCTGTCCCGTCAAGCCACGCGCAGCATGCCTTCAGAACCTTATGAGGAACCAACCCAGACACGACAATGCAAGCATACCCACGCATAATTCATTAAAATTTCTTGTAAGAACGGACGCCTAATGATTGAATGTGTTCCTCCATTTCCTGCCGACCGGCTGTCCCACTGCGAAGCCACCCATGTGGCGAGGCTGGCAGGAGAGCCTGTCTCCGGCACCAGGTCCACCTGCTTCATCACGTCCAGCAAAGGCTCAGCAGGCGCTTCAGGTAAATCCAGTGCTCTCTTCAAACTGTTCTAGCATGTTCTATAGCACCTCTGAATCAACTTTGCTAGAGACTCGGATAGCTGTCAGTGCCTTTAGTGCTCGGCAATCCGACAACTCTCACGAGCGCGTAGCTCTCGAAGGCCATGCGCAGAGCAGTGAGCACTCCCTTCGTAGACTCTGACTTTGACAGCTTGCAAGCAAGCTGCCAATGTAGTGTTCCGGAAAGTTCGTCCGAAGATCTGAGGAGGGAGAAGGTGGTCCCTGTCGCAGTCGCTCAGCTTCTCGCTCACGAAGTCCATGTCGCCGGGGTGCACCGGTGAGCATGGCTGCGACGACCAGGATGGGCGATTATGCCCTACAATCTCCACAATCAACCCCATAAAGAGTGCCAGAAAGGGTCTTTTTAAGGGGTTATAGGGTATAATAGCCCGTCCTGGTACCATCTGGTTGGTCCAAGTCTGGGGTCGTTTCTTCGACGGGAAGCAGAGCTGTCGGCGGTCAATCAGGATGCTTCCGAGGTCTTTTTGCCAAAAAGATCTGCAGCAACACGAGCCCCGATACGCGACTTCTGAGAGCATCGGACTTTGCTACACGAGGTGCCTCAGGATTTCTACCGCATGCCTCGATGCCGGCGAAGAACAGCCCAGACTGCGCTGGAACAGGGGCATTTCAGGAGCATGGTTCCATCCACTCCTCAAACCAGAAACTGCGCAAGCCCCTTTTTTTACAAGAGCAAGCTCAAGCGATCCACCACCACACTCCGTCTGGGGCTAGCTGGAGCTGGCGATTCGGCGGCAGAAACCTTGCAATCAGCTACAAACTGGGCCCATGACGGGAGTGTTGTTAGTTACATGTAGTGAAGCACACCCAAACACGTCTGGGGGTTTACGAAACTAGGGGGGACCCCCAAAACAGACCCGCAAATAGTAGGAGGATTCCCTTATCATAAGGACCCCAATAAGGCACCCCGAACTTCGGAAACCTACATCTCATGCTCAGAGCATGGATCTGTCTTTCGCAGCAGCTCGCGTGACAAGATGCCGCTTCGACAGAAGAGGGCACTCGCGGACAGGATTCTGTAGTGACATATTAACTTCTGCAAGTGGCACATGATTTTCGCTTCTGGGAGAAGCACAGAGAGAACAAAGGCCAAGAGAAACAAAAACACACAGAGAGGCAGAGGGGCACAGAAACAAAGAGGGAGCGAACAAACAATAGCCGGGGCGAGCATGAGCTCCGGTAGATTTAGGCGACCCCTCTGCATCACACGGCTTTCCTCTCTTCAGGAAGGACCTGACCGGAGCCTGAATCAAAATGAGTAGCTTCAGCTAGTTTCGCCCCGGCTTCCAGCCGAGAGGAGTTTGGAACAAGCAGACCAGGATCTTGCCTCCTTCCCGCCCTTGCCAACCTTCCCCCCAACCCTGCATCACACCCTCCCCCCCTGCCCTGTGGGACCAAACCGCCTTGGTGCAGGCTGCGGGCTCCTACAACGACCACGCCAAAAAGCAGCCCATAAAGCCACTCCCAGGACCGCTGCGCCTGCTACACCCCGCGTGTTGGGGCCAGCCCGGCTGCTGGGGGGGCGCAAGCGTTCAACATTGTCGCATGTTGTAGCCATCGCCGTATAAATGGACATGATCGCGCCTATGCACAGCGCGGACGACATTGAAAGCCTCGCCCAGTCCTGGGTTCGTCGGCTTGTTATGGGGTTGAGAGGCAAAGCTACGAGTAACAAGGCCGCTCTCGAGCCAATGGTGCAGGCTTAGTGGCGATAGTCGTGGCCGGAAACCACACCTTCAGGCAGGGACAGGGTTGACACTTGCTGCTTGATTCATGGATGCGGTTTCTCGTGGCGAGCCTTTGACTTCACAAACAGACCCCCAACCCCAATGCGCGAGAGTGATCTTCTAAAGATGCGGGCTTAAAGCTTGAATCTCAACCCAAACCCTAAACCTAAACCCTAAACCCTAAACCCTATTGCCCCCAAACCACACCTCCAGGTCGCACTCGTGGTGCCCAGTGCTGGAGATCGGCGGCGACGGAGCGGAAGTCATGTGCTCCGTCGATGAACACCTGACTCCGCACAAGCACCGCTGTAGGGCACCACCATCACCATCAGTGATGACTTGAAGCCCTGCTCTTAGGCAAGTTTTTGAAGATCCCCCCCCCCCCCCCCCCCCCCCCCAAAGAAAAAAAAAAGAGCTCGGATGGCCAAGTGCTGTGTCAAAATAAGAAGTGCTTTCAGACAGGATGCAAGATCAAGCTTCTTGGCCGGCCACTGGGCCTGCTTGCGTTGCAGCTCATGCATGCGGAGCACGCAGGACTTACCATCAGTCTTTGGTACGCTTTCTTGAGTCAGCTGCAAGAACTTGCGCACAGCATTGTTCCAACAGACATTCGGGATGAATTCGGCTAAGACCCATGGACCTTTTCTACAGCAACTCCCCATCCACCGTCGCAGGTATCCATCGCGGCCGCGAGGTTTTTGGGAGAAGAACTACACGTGTGGTTCAATGTCAAAAGGGAATTCAAGGAACTTCACAGCTGCCGAACCCGAACCTGGCAGGCTCGCATTGCCCCGACACCTTACAGAGGGATAGGCGGTTGGACGGGCTTCTGGTTGAGCAAGAGGCTTTACAACTTCCTTCGAGCGAAAAGAGAATTGCTGAACCGGCACATGGGTTGGAACAACCCCTTGCGCAGATAAAAGAAGTGCAGGCTTCAGGTAGGAACTCCTACAAACATGCTGTCGTTTGGTACTCTGTTGCCTTCAGGCACCTTGCAAGCTGAAGCCTTGAACTTCGGTCATCTCGCTTTAATTGCAAGATCCCAGGCGCGAGCCACATGTCGCGAGTGCCGCCGGCACAATCTGGCGCGGTGTCCGAAGCGCCGCAACCTGCCGGGGCAGAGGAAACAGATGCTCGATAGGCGCGAACCTGACATACTGACGCACCTCATGCGTTTCATGACCCGACTTTCTGAGATGCCCAATCCACAGGGCTGAGCATATGCTGAAAGGTCATTTAACCATGTCCTGTGGTCAGCTGAAGACCCGGCCTCACCAAGGTTCCAACAATGTATAAACGTAAAAGCCCATGTTCAGCTGGCCTTGCTGATGTGCGCCGGAAGTTTGCCGTGTCCCCGAACTCGCCAGAGCCCCGCTGGGCTCGACTCAGGGGCAAAGCGCAGCTGTACTGCAATGTGCCAAACATGCATTGCTCGCAAGACGAGACGGTTTTCCTGACAAAGGCTTGCTGATGTGTGTGTGTGTGTGTGTGTGTGTGTGTGTGTGTGTGTGTGTGTGTGTGTGTGTGTGTGTGTGTGTGTTGCAACACCGACTCAGCGTGGCCTGCAGCAAGGCCAATGCTCATAATTCAGCATGCAATACTCGCCAAGATCTCAAGACATTTGACTCTCGACCAGTCAGCGCGCGGCACGGAAACATGCTGTAAAGTCCCTGCTGACATGGCTTTAGTGCTGGTATAACACAGAATATCGAAGCTGCTTCGAATTGCCAAAGGCAAGATGTCAGCCCCTTGCTGAGAGGATGGGAAGGGAGTTATCGAGTGTGTTCTACGAAGACTCGGCACGTTTAGCTGCATTCTGGAGCTGCCTGTTCTCGTAGTGCCCGGTGTAGGGGTCTACTCCTCAGTAGATCTGACAAAGGAGTCACCATAATTAAAGTGCAAGAGAGGGCTCGGGTGTACCTACGAGGTTTCGACAGAGAGACGCTCTTGGGGCGGCCAAGAGTCCGAGGTACTGAAGTGAAGGGTGCCGCCGCAGTAGCCCTGCGGCAGCCTTGCCGTGGTGGACACCAATCTCCACCTTTGAACATGCGCTTGCAAGCAAAGGTAAGCCAGCTAGCCATGACAGAGCCTTTGAGTAGATTCTTGATGTTCCTATGTGGTTCTCCAGGTTGGCTGCAACACTCCTAGCTGCTCGTGTACGGCTCATTTAGGCGATGTTTTCGGCTCAGGGCGCCGCCATGCGCAGTTGCGGCGAGCTTGCCGCCCTGAGTTGAGCGAGCAAGGTGCCTCAGAGGACTCTTTGAAAGGTCGTAGCTGCACCTCTGCCTTCTAGAAGGCCCAAACCATGCTATGGACCCAAACCTCAACCTTCCAGTGGCCTGATAAGCGGAATCCTGCATCACTTTTCTGCCACTAGAGGGTGCGCGGATGACGCCAGTTGATGTGCCGTGCTTGTCTTGCAGCGGGTCATGCACGATTTGGTCCATCTCAGGATGACACTCAAAGTGCTGACTCGCAAGTCGTGCTTGCTGCGAAGATCACCTGTCATGAATCACGCGTCACACACATCTCTGGTGGTGCTTAGAGTTGAAGTTGTGAGCAAGCCCTGAACCCCTCAACCTACACCCGGTGCGTAGGAGACCCTAAACCCCTCATGTGGCCAGTTCTCGAAAGTATGGTCACTTCTGGCACCCAACACCATAGGAAGTCTAAGGGGATCCAAAGACGGAGTGTCGAAAACTGACCGAAGGTACCGTCAATCTCAAGAACCGCCAGGGCCTGCCGAAATTCCCGGTGGTAGCTCTGGTAACTGCAGCGTTCCTGGTGTTCCGCACAGACGCTTCCAAGCTACAGCAGCGGAAAGATACGTAAATCTTGCTGCACACAAGATAGGCCATCTCTTCCAAAATCCCTCTCCTGCATCCTCAAACGGAATGCCGCTGAAGTCCCAGAGCAAAGCCGTCTCCAGCTGCGATTGCATCTCGGAAGGTGAGCTCTGGGACTGAGACTGAAACTGTGCTTGGCTGCGGGTCTGCAGACCTGTGAATGGAAACCCCCAATCATGGCACTAGATTCTAACCGAGGTCGACACCACGTGGGAGAGCACGCCCAGAACCTCACGGAACACAAGCTGCCTGCACGGCGATCTGAATCTGTGTCTCTGGGATCCCGGCACGAGAGCCTTGCGCAAGCCGACGATGGAGCGCGTGGCAGCCCACGAAACCTGCCAGAGCGACGCCATAGACCAAGATGGGAGGCATAGGTTTCCTGCGGTATACTGACGACCACTTGGAGGTTCATGGCACTTATTATTACCCAATTATATGATCACTGTACTTAACAACCCGCTGATAAGCCCCTTAAGTGCCCCAATATGGTTATAAGTACAGTTGTAAGTACAACTATAATTGGTTAATAAGTACCATGAACCTTCAAGCAGGGCAAGCCAAGAGTTTGGATTCGCCAGCGGCCTAGGCAGTTGGCATCCGCTTGCCGCTGCGGCCTGGGATGTGGCTTTGGGAAGGCGAAGTCATCCGAGGACGGGCAATTATACCCTGTAACCCCTTCAAGAGGCCCTTTATAGGGTTGACTATGGGGATTAGAGGGCCTAATACCCCATCCTGGTCCGATCCACCACGGATCACGTAGTTACACAAAGTCCTGTGACTGATCTTTGAGTGCTTCAGCTCTGCATACCTCTGCTATTCGAGTCAGCATTGCTGCTGAGACGACTGCTACTTTGGGAGAGGCTCATCACTATTGTCCGTCAAAGGAGAACTGCTGCAGGACCTCTTTGAGTGGAGTGCGAGAAAACCAAGCGCCCAAACACCTTCCGGCCCCCAACGTTGCAAATACGAATGCTACTTTGGGATTTTCCCCCTCATACTAGCAGTCTCAGGGATTATAGTACCCCCCCCCCCCCCCGCAATATAATCTTTATTGAGGACTGTCAGGATAAGGGGGAACATCCCAAATGCTACTGGTGGTCTGACGTGGGATCACCAGACACTTCCGCAGGCTTTCGAAAAACAGAGCATATCTGGAAGCTTCCCGAATTAGGGGTACCTAGCTTATTGGGGTCCTGAATGTATGGGGACCCTAAAACCCTAAACCCTAAATCTTATTTGGGGATCTAGTCGATATTGGGGGGGGGGGGTCCCCCCATCTTCGTAAACCCCCCATCATGTCCAGCTGCAGATGCATGCACGCCGCGGCCGCCAACTTTGAAAGCTGCTCTGTCGTCATGTGCACGATGTTCCTCAGCGCGCTTCAGGCGATGGCTTTGTTTGGGATGCTCCGCCTTATACTAACAGTCGGCTTTCTTTGGGAGGTTCCCCCTTCTACTAACAGTCCTTAATAATCAATAGGGATAAAAGTACCCCCGACTATAATCCCAATTAAAGACATCTCAGTAGAAGGGAGCACATCCCAAGGCTTTCTGATCAAGGCTCTCCACAGCTTCTTGTAAGTGCCGGCTTCTGCTTTGCAGTTCCAGACGTGCTCGCATCTTCCACGCCAGCTCACCTTGGCCCACAAGGCATCGCCGCTGGCCCTCTTGACCAGGACGGGCTCTTACACCCCATAACCCTAGAACCCTAGAACCCCATAACCCTGTATTATAACCCTGTAACCCTAGAACCCTAGAACCCTTTCACCCTATAACCCAATAAACCCCCCTAAAACGGCGCCCTTTTACAGGGTTGACTCTGGGGATTCTAGGGCCCTAATAGCCCGTCCTGGAAGTCGCACTTCTGTATTACGTATCCTTACCCGCTCTTATGCGACAATTTCAAAAAAATGATCGGGATACCCCTATCGAGAATCGTTACCCGCAATTACACGAGGTCAGCCGTCCGAGGATCCCCGGGCCAGGGAGCCAAAAAAAGAAAACGAGTTTTGACCAAAAAGGCCTGGAAAACATAGACCCTCAAGCTTGGAGGCTTGGCCCGATTCTATAGTTTCGAGCTTCAGATTCCAGAAGTTCCTTGAGCCGGGCTTTATATAGTTTCCTGTTGAACTTTCAGTACGGAACAACTTTCCAATGGAGTAGCCATGAGCTGCCCTCATCCGCTTTAGCATATTGTTTCTGTTACCCGCAATAGTCCGGAGCCCCGCGGCCAGAGTCAGAAGTGCTGGAAACCGTCAACCCTCAAGCTTCAAGGCTTGGCCAGATTCCCCTCAACCCTCGACCCCTACCCGCCCTACCCCCGGCCCCGGTTCCCGTTCGGAGAAGGCGCACCAAAACCCCGAAATTGTCTGGGAAGGGGGGGCAGGGAGTTGGGGACCCCTTGATACTAAAGCGAATGCAACATAGCCAATTCCTCCGCATCTTTCAAATCTTGCCGACCGCAGCTGATTAAAAGTTTACCTCTGTCTTGAGGGCTCAGGCTCAGATCGCAGAACATGGCCCTCACCAGTACCACCAGCTGATTCGATGACGACTCACTATTCACAGCGTCCACTTGGGCGACAGGTGCTGCTCGTACTACCCCGGACGACCTCTGATGCAACCTGTACCACAGAAAGCAAATGGGCCAAAACACGAATCGATCCGCGAACCTGCTGACATACGTAGCGGAAGCTCTCCTTAGCTGACTCACAACCAAACGTGCAAATCTCATGTTGATCTTCGGGCACACGGTGGACAAGCTGACTCACACGCGTGAACTTGACAGTGCAGCCTTCCCAGTCAGCCATCTTTCCCATCACTGGCGTCTTTGTGAAGCTTGGGCTGGATTTTTCTGTATCAGGATCTCTTATTTCAGGGATTCTTATCTCAGGGATTCTTGAATATGGAGCCTACATATGTGGGGTACCCAACAAGGGCCCATAATTTGGAGAACCCATCTTCTTCGGATGTGAAGTGCAGCCGTGTCTCCCAATGGGTCACCTGGTGTAGACACACGTGCCCCAGCTTGTCGGCAAGCAGCACCAATTGCAGATTCGCACCTGCTATAGAGAGGACTCCAAACTCAAACTATGCTTAGGACAGGCTTGCTTTCAGTCGTTCAATGAAAATTAGAGAGGTTCCGACATTCGCAGCGCACAAGCCTGACACTTCAATTTATATTGTATACACCTGAAACCCTAAACCCGATACAAGCCCGAGACGCTTCTTTGCCTTGAACCCTCTGCGCCCAAAATTGTGAAACTCGTTGCGCCCGTGGCGAGATGCCTATGTAGACGAATGCGGTGTGGAGCGCTTCTTTGGCGTCCGCGATGGGTAGTCCAGCTGCTTCGATGTGGTAGAGAAAACTGCCCAAGACGTGCAGAAATAGGTTATCGTGGAGGCGGTTATAATTAAACATGTTGTTTTGGCGGGTTGGCTCCGCGGCTATAATCTCAAGCGGCCAATAATATTTCGTTGTATAACTATACCTATATATATATATATGTCTATATATATATATTCACATATATAGCTGAAGGTTTTGGGGCGTAGGGTTTCCCTCCCTCCCCCTGCCTGTGGTGTGGCTGTGGGTTGGTTCTCTGGTTTGGGGCTTAGGGTTCTTGGGATGTAGGGGTTTTGCGGCTTAGCTTTTTAAGGCTTAAAGCTTTAGGTTTAAGCTAGAAAGCGTTCGGGATTTAGGGTCATGATTCCTTAACTCCCCGCCCCTTGCTTTATAGGGTTAGGGTTCCGCGCGCAGCCCCTGTGGTGGCCTGAAGAAACAGGTACCATCTAATGATTCTCCCCCCACGCCCTTTCCCCCCGTGACCTTCTTTTTCAGCCCATGTTTTGGTTAGATTTCCATCCCCACGCACCGTTTTTTGCGCGGTGTGGAACACGCTGCGCCCTTCTTCCATGGGGGGCGGGGATGCCGCGGAGGGGGCCAGGAGGTTGGGGGGGGGGATACAACGGCAAGGTGGTGCGGCCCTTATATTTGTATATATATATATTTAAATTTATATTTGTATTTCTATTTATATTTATTTAGTTGTTTGTGTATTTATTTTATGTACGAGGCCTTTAGGGTCTATGTTGCTTAGTTGTCATCATCACAATCAAAAATCCACAAGATCTCATATTCATATTCCTCTCTCAACAACCCTTCCACGCCAGCAGTTTCGGAACTTATCTCGATTCATTTCTAATTTCGTTTCGCTTAGTTTTCATACTTACAATGTAAATACTATATTAAAATATGTACATGAATACTTATATTCATGTTTGTGTTAAAACATCGGCACGTGCCTTTTTGTCTTTGGCATTGCAAAACAACTTTGCAAAGAATCACCTCACAGACATTTACAGCACTTCAGGCCCTCCAGGTGCAGAAAACGCTGTACTGTCCCACTCTTTTTGGGTCCTGTCATGCAAAAACACTGTACTGTCCCAATCTTTGAGCTGGAGACCCTCAAAAGATCGGTTTTTTTGTTTTTTGGGACAGTACGGTGTTTTTGCTTCACTGTCCCAAAAAGATTGGGACAGTACAGCACTTCAGGCCTTCCAGGTGTACCAATGGGACTCCTATAAAAAGTGTGAACCCTTAAATAATAGGAATCCTACTGACAATAGGAATCCCTTTCAAATGAATTCCCTATTAAACATGAATACAAATCCCGTTAACATGAGCAAGAGCCCTGAAATTGATAGGAATCTTGTTGCATGAGTAGGAGCCTTATGAAAAAAATTTAGGAACCCTATGAAAAGTTTACTGGAATCCTATGATAATAAGTAGGAACCTTTCATTGAAATCATACGAATCCTATACAGGAAGCCGCTTAGAGTGAAAAGGAACCCTTAACAAATCAAAAAGAACGCTTGGCAATTCATAGGACTCCTACTTGACTGAGAAGGTTTCTTAACAAGATTAATAGGAAGTAATAGGACTCCTATGAAAGAATAAGATTCCTTTAACAAGAACTAATAGGAATCCTACTAAATGAATATGAGCCTAAACCAATAGGAATCCTTTTCAAACGAATGAGATCCCTATTAAAATTAATACGAATCCCATTAATATGAATAAGAACCCTAAAATTGATAGGAATCTTATTACATTAGTAGGAGCCTCATTAGAATAATCAAGGACCCTATGGGAATCCTATGAAAATAAATAGGAATCCTCTATTGAATTCGTAGGAATCCTGCCAATATTTTTCGGAACCGATAAAAGTTCATAGGGAACCTATTAAAATGAATAGGAACCCTTAACAAATTAAAAAGAGCCGGCTATAATTCATAGGAATCCTGTTAAAATGAGAAGGAATCTGGGCAGCAAAAAAAGGTAGTAAATTATGTGTGTAAAACACGTTAAAACACGCGAAAACGTGGGCCTATCGGGGGGGGGGGTAGCATATATTTATATATCTATTTATATATTTATAGTCTTTGTATTTCTTCTATGTCACATCCGGGCGCAACAAGCCTCCTGCTCGCATTGCGGAAGCTGAGCTCCGACAGGACCTGTGGCTCCTGCAGAGGTGGGGGGGGGGGGAGTCCCTAAACCCTAAACCCTAAACCCTAAACCCTAAACCCTAAACCCTAAACCCTAAACCCTAAACCCTAAACCCTAAGCCCTAAACCCTAAACCCTAAACCCTAAACCCTGTCCCCTGGACCCAAACAACGACCTGACACATGGGGGGGGGCTTGCGAAAATTGGGGGTTTAGGGTTCGGTGTTTAAGGGTTTTTTGGTTTAGGGTTTAGGGTTGGGGGGCTTTCCGAGAATTAGGGGGTACCCCTCTTTTTGGGAAATACACAGATGAAAGCTAGGAAAGCCACACTGGTCCGGAAGTTGGCAGGCCAGCTCACCTTGCCAATCACAGCCCGGTCCAAATTCCTACTTTACTTGGCTCGGCTCGACATTCTTGCTTCCGATTCACAGCCGCGCTACAAAAGCCTGAGGGCCACACCGGACATGTGCAGGCTCTCCGCGCCGCGCGCGCGGAGCCCCCATGTGCTCCGCCAGGTCTAGGTCTGGTAAGGTCTGCTGGAGCGGAGATGTATTACTGAGCATGAGGAAACATACCGATTGAATCCACGATGTGCAGTCGCCGCTCTGTGCTGTTGGCTGGTCCATGTGTTTGTGCTGGCACCGAGGCACACCCCATCACAGGCCCACTGCAGCATCCAAGGATCCCAAAACAACCCGGGGCGCCGGTACCAGAATGCGAGCCATATACATACAATATATATATATATGTATATAAAATAAGATAAGAGAAGATCAGATGAGATAACAGAATATAAGCTAAGAGAATAATACATACATATATGTATACGTATATAATGTATAATGTCTAATATAGTGGCAAGTGAGTGTTGGATCCTCTGTGCATGTGCAGGCTTGTTTTCCTTCCGCGCGCTGGAGCCAAAGGGTCTCCAACCCGTCAAGGTGAGCTGCACCAACCTAGGCTGTGTGTGTGTGTGTGTCTTGAGTTTCAGAGACTTCCGACATGGGCACAAACGCGTCAGTTTAGGGGTTAGGGTTTAGGGTTTAGGGTTTGGGGTTCAGGGTTTAGGTTTTAAACCCTTCATTGCCACGACTTATATAAGCTCTGGGCCACAGCAAGAACGCGCTTGCCGCCGCAGGTGAGCAGCTGCTGCGCCATCAGCTCCTGGCACTTCGAATCCGTAGGCCAAGGATGCCTCCATCTTGCCACTATACCCTCAACCCTACACCCTAAACCCTAAACCCTACAGTCTTGGAATACGGATCGAATCGGTGGATAGTTATTCAAAACCCAGAAGAAACCATCTGATCAGAGAGTAATCTTTTTGAGCATGTAATGAAGGGATCAGTAAGGCCCGAGCATCGCGCTCGTGGAGCATCACTCTGAGAATGTTCGGGCCTCTGAATTGAGATTCTGTTCAGTCGTCTTGGGCTATAGTTGCCAGGTCTCACTACAAATCCGGGCGATCTCGAACTGAGGAGTCCACCACGGTCTTTCCTCGGAATCCAAACTCTGACTGGCATGCCGTATTAAGCGACACACTGGATCAGAAATCGGGACGATTTTGGACTTGGAATCCCGTCCCATGCACACTTCCGAAGAAAGGGGAAGGGGGGGGGGGGGGGGGGGGGGGGGGGCCCCCTCAAGTGTTTTCCCTCCAATAAGATGATCGAAGTTTGAATGCTAGTGGTACTCGCGATCTAGATTCACTGGTTCGACTCCTGGCGAGGAAACTCTACAACTGCTAAGAATTTCAGAGGTTTCTGGATCTGGACAGAAACACGACAAGACCAACTTATGAACTTGTTATGAGCTTCTGAATCCGGCCAGCGACTCTTCTCATCCAGCGTTCGCACTGTAGCTTCTTGTGTACTAGTGGCACATCGGGAGCACGCAAGGCAATAGACAATGCAGCTGCCATACTTTAGTGGCTGGGGGCATCTACAGTGGGAGTGATCGACATCAGTATTGCACGTGCAGCTGAGATTCAGCCCTTCACGAAGGCGAGCAATCGTCTCGCGATCGCGGAGCCTCAAGGCACTGAGCGATGCTCCAGAGCTCGTCATCTGAATCTCGCAGACTGCGGGAAAGTGAGTAGCAGGAGATGATTTAGTTGAGGCGTTGCGTAGCATTAAGAGCCAGGGACATGAGAGCAGCCCTCAACTTCGCAACGAATATGCACAACACGAGTTATAGCACCGGCGGCATGTTTCTGGGAAATGACGGCTGCATTCACAGCATGAGACATTGAAAAGCTGGACAAAGTAAAGGGGCGTATGCATGAACAGGACAATAATAACATGATGACACCTGTGATGACACCGCCCGCAAGATAGGAAGCTTTTGGAAGGAATCCCATGAAATCAAAGAAGCTGATGATGGCGACTGAACGGCGAGCGCGGTAAATTCACTATCATTCTAGATACTGTATGCACAACAGCAATTACATGAGAAGGCTCAGGAACTTCATAAGCGCGGGGCTGCTCGATGCCATCTGCATCCAGGATTTGAGGCATCGAACTGGGCAAGACCACGACAGAACACATGGGGGGATCCTCTAAATCATGGTGTCATTTGAGGGTACTTCTTACCCCAATATACGTATACTTTTTGAGGGTACTTCTTACCCCAATTATTTGTTTTCGTATAACCTACTTGGCGGACTTCGGGGACTTAGGGGGCCGATAAGTTCAGCTCTAGTTGTGGGGTTATAAGTACCTTGAACCTCCAAGTAGAGTATGGGCATCTGATACGGTCCTAGTCGACGAGAGAAACGTCACAGTAGCAGCTTGTGTCAGGTCTCAGAATGATGGTCCCCTTTTATTGGGTACCCTAGATATTCGGGACGGCCATGAACCTCCAAGCAGAATGGTGCGGCTTTCGTATCCCAAGACAGGGAGGAGCCGCAGGTTCCTATATGCGTGCAAAGAGTGGGACCTTTCCTGGTAGGCACCCGGCACTTGGTTTGAGGATGTCAGGAGCGACCACCAATCTTGCAGAAATGCCTGCAGCAAGGTGTGAAATCCGTGCAACAGGTCCGGCGGACGTGACTTACCTTGGAACACTGCTTGCTGGTAGCAAGTTGCATCATCAACCACAGGTGTGCACCCTTCCACCCCACGACTCACACAATTAACAACACCTATGAGGACTGCGGCTTTCGGCTCCCAGTTTGTGGCTTTGGAAGCCGCCTCTTTCAGCTTGCGCATGGTCTCGTCCACGTCGCGGTCGCCGCAGACGAGTGGTAGATTCCTCTGCTGGGCCACCTCCACGGATTGAGTGCTCTTGATGGATGTATACCGAAGCAAGCGGCCTCAATGGCGGCCGAAAATTCGGCTCCTGGGCGAAGGTCGAAAATCTTGGCTATGGCCGCCTCGGTGTTTGAAAGAGCAAGCATCCCAAACACCTGAAGAGTTCGCTGCTCCGGAGGGTGCTCTGAGCGCAACGCTTGCTGTGCTTTCAGCAGCGTGCGGAAAATTCGATCCTGCAGCGGATGGAGGGGAGTCCCTGTTCCTACAGCTTCGTGTATGGCTTCAGTAGGCTCTCGCATATGGCTTCAGTAGGCTCTGCAGTATACATGCTGATGATTTGACCCCAGTCCAGCAAAGGACCATTTCCCGTCTTGATGTTGCCTGGGCATTGCAAGCACACGAGGCTGACATGCTTGTCATTAGGAAATCAGATAGATGCAAAGGCGCGAGCTCAAGACTTCTGCGATGCTGGGGACTTCGGAATCACCCATTCTGGCCTGGACAGGAGAATGACCTACCAGAGAATGTGGTAGTTGACCAAACACCTGCTCCCAAAATGACCTACCTTCCCTTCATTATAAGAACCTTAAATTTGAAGGAGCTTTGGAGCAAACCCCCCATGTACCGAATTAATGTTTTAGTTCTCAGAACGAGAAGCAAAGGTCAGTTGGGAGTTGGGTACCCGTAACCCTAAACCCTAAACCCTAAACCCTAAACCCTAAACCCTAAACCCTAAACCCTAAACCCCAAACGAATCTTTACATGAGTTCAACCGCTGCTCCGTGCTCGATCCTTTTTGTGAGGTAAGGGTTTAGGGTTTAGGGTTTAGGGTTTAGGGTTTAGGGTTTAGGGTTTAGGGTTTAGGGTTTAGGGTTTAGGGTTTAGGGTTTAGGGTTTAGGGTTTAGGGTTTAGGGTTTAGGGCTTTTTGGTTTAGGGTTTAGGGTTTAGGGTTCAGGGAGTTTGGAGTTTAGGGTACGGCTGTACTTGGAAGGTGCTGCCTTGATTTCCTTCAGGCGCGCGTCGCAAAGCTCGACCTGGCATGAAGGGACGCAAGCTTTGCTTAGGGAGCCATTGGGACAAGAAGAGCAACATCAAACTCCATACCCTACACCCTAAACCCTCAACCAAACGTTACCGTCAATTTGGCAGGCAGGCAAAGATGACATCGGGGTTCGATTCGGCGGCAATCTCGGAGAATGATTCTTGGAAGATGGTGGACTCTTGGTTAAATGGGAAGTTTACGATAATGAGGCACCCCCCAAACATAGCCCAAATAGTAGGATCCCCTTAGAATTAGTAAAAAGGACCCCGACAAGGTACCCAGAGTATCGGAAACCCCAACCCCATCCTCCCCCATGCCTCCGACATGGACCGGGTGTGGGTAAAGAGCACTCTAGCACTACACCCCTGCCCCACGCTTCTGTCATTAGTCACTCATCTCATGTGCTCATAACGAACTGAATCTTCAGCATTAGGGCGGTGCGGATTTTTGATGACCGCAATGAGGCTTGTTCACATCAGTAGTCTATTGTCGATACTCCATGCTGGAACAGACATGTCAGACATGGATTGATCTTGTGCTGCTTGCTTACAGTTGCAAGCGGAAAGTGGGGTTTGCACCTGATGCAATGGTGTCATGCTCGACGCATCCTACACCGCATGCTTATACCAGATGTTGTGTGCTTTTGCATTAAGCATCAAGGCCTCGTGTGCCCTTCCCTCTTCTCACTTTCAAGACCACAGAGCGACACTGTATGAAAGCTTCTGAGTCGTGGGCTTTGACGACTTCGGCTGCTGATGCTTTGGACACGTGCCTCATCAACAAACACTCCGGGAGTCTCCAACTGTTACCATAAACCTGGGCAGGAGGATTAATTGGGTATTTCCCCAAATAGGGGTACCCTTCATAATGTGGGACCCTCTTGAATGTGTAGGGCCCCCCCCCCCCCCCCCCTGAACAGTCGAGGCGTGGATGGGATCCTGAATAAAGGGCCCCGCGGTTTTATATGAATTTAATAGGGAGGAGTTTAGATAGATTTAAAAGGGATCCATATGAATTTAAAAGGGAGCCGCGCGAATCGAAAAGGGGTCCGGGATGAGTTTATATGAATTTAAAAGGAATTCATAGGCTTTTTCCAAATTCGGAGCCTCGGGGCCGGGGCCTGGACATTAAAGATTGCCCCGAAACAGTCCTATTATTGTTCATAAGGCCCGGCTTTAAGCCGGAGCCTCCGGGCGGAAACAAGCCCCAAATCCTAAAAAACATTTCGGATTTCGGGAACCGTTTGACTTTAAAGAGGACCCCGCAAACAGTCAGGGGGTCCTGAATAATTCGGCCAAATTGACTTTAAAGGGGAGGCCCCTACTAAACAGGGTCCCACATTATACCCCAAAATAGTATAATTATGATGATAGGAACCCACCCCCCAAAAGGGTACCCCAATTTTCGGAAACCCCCATTTTGGAAGGCAAGCAGCGCCGTGCCCAGCAGCCACACCTGTCGGCCTGAGCATGTGGATGAAACAGTCAAGTGGCAGGCAACGGAACCCAGACAATGACCATTAACATGACAGGTGGAGCCATATTATGTGATCACGCTTTGCTGGCCTATGCTGGCCTCTTGTGCCTGAGTGCCTGAGAGTGCCTCGAAGCTTATCAACCGTCACCGCCCTGCTTCGCCCTGGTACCCTGGCGGCCTGGAGAGTCCAGATACGACAACGTCCTCGCAGGAGCCGGCTCAAGCTCGTCACAGCTTTTTTTCATTATTATCACCACTATTATTATTGTCATTATGCTGATGATTATTCTTCCTCATATTGTTATTAGTACTGTTACTAATATTCTCAGTATTTTGCTGCCGACATGTCAATGCAGATATGTCATCTTTGACCGGCAGTGTGACTAGCAGCCTGCCTCCAGGTAGGATGAAATCTAACTAGTTGGGATGTTCCCCCCCTTATAGAAATAGCCCTTAGTAGGGATGAGAAAAGGGGTACTATAATCCCTATGAAGGACCGTTAGTATAAGGGGGAACATCCCACGAGTTATCAGCCCTAAACCCTAAACCCTAGACCCTAAACCCTAAACCCTAAACCCTAAACCAGAGGCTCAAGGTTGGAATGCTTCCGGGTCCGGTAGACACTGGAGATTCGGACGGCAACGCCGGGCTCCTTCCCGAATCCTGAGCTAAGACACAGGGGCGACTCTAGGAGCCCTATATACTCCCCTTAGAACCATAATATTCGTACTAGAACAATACTAGAACAAGACTACTAATGATGATCATAAGAACCCCAAACCCTAAACCCTAAACCCTAAACCCTAGACCCTAAACCCTAAACCCTAAACGCAAACTCCTCCCTTCTCAACCCAAGCAGCTGACATTTGCAGACCATCTTCTCTGAGTTGCTCGCAAGACTTCGAAAGACCTGACTGGGCGTCAGAGCGTCGCCCTAAATGCCTGGATCCGTGCCCGACTTCAGCACATGCTATTGGGCAGTGGTGTCCTTGCGTTGGGGATTCCGGGTTTGGAGGCTCGGGTGCTGACACTCAATCAAAACCCCTGCGTATCGATAAAGGCCATGAGCCCTAAAGCCCAATAACAGCCCTAGAAACCCATGAAGCCCTCAAGGATCCTTACCGTAGCCTTTTAAGCCCCCTAGAGCCGACAGGCCCCTGCCAGCCTCGAGGCCGCATGTCGCTTGCACATGGACTGCATATCAGCTTGCAAGGCTTTGAGGGTTGGATTTGGGGGACTTCGAAAATAGGGGCAAATTTAGTAGGATTCCCTTATAATAAGGGCCCCACTAGCGTACCCCCTTAATTTCGGAAACCCCCATTTCAGTGACTCCAGCGGCATGTAGAATTTCATGTCCAACGCAACGCGCGTCACTCTGCAGTTCTTGCCGTGTCGGACTGTCGGATGCAGATCCTATCAAACCTCTGGCCGCAGATGTGCAAACAGCTGCAGACAATCTAGAACGAAAAGAGCTCATGCCCTGTGCTGTCAACAATCATCTGGAACCTGCCTTGCGACCCTCGATGATCTAGAGGGTTTGCTATGCGAAGGCAGCCTTGGGTCCTGAGATCCCCCACCCTAAAGTTTAGGGTTTAATTATATGGGGTTTAGGGTTTAGGGGTTTAGGGCTTAGGGTTTAGGGTTTAGAGAAGTGACCACATCACTCAAACACTACAGCGGTGGGCCGGGGCACGGTCATCCGACAGCCCGAGGGAATCAAAGAGTCCGGTGGCCGCCGCGACTTGGCGAGTTTGGGTTTGGGGGTTGGATGTAGGGGCCACTAGGGTTCCGGGTTTAGGGTTTAGGGCAAGTCGCGAGTTTGGGGTTTGGATGTAGGGGTCATGAGGGCGTTGGGGGCTTGGGGCCGAGGGCTATTCAGGGTTTAGGGGTATTTGGGGGTTTGCTCGGGGAACGGATTCTGAATCGTCTCCTACGGCATGACTACAGCCACCCCCCCCCCCCCCCCCTCACCGAAATCTATCTCAACCCGGTCCCGCCTCCTTGAGCCAACGCATCATAGAGAAGAGGATGACAATAGATATGATGCCAGGGGTCGACTGCATACGCACCACTTCGCACCAAATTCACAGGATTAGGATCAGTGCACAGAAGCCCTGTGTTGCTGAGGCGTAGCACCCAGACGACGAAGCCGAGCTGCCTCGGCCAGAGATGCAGACATGCAAGAGCGAGCAGCTGTGTTGCTCATTTGCCCGTCCGCTGAGAAAACATGCGCTCGCGGAGCCCGCGATCCAGACAGAGCTATTCAAAATCACCGTACTGGACAGCTCCTGGGATCTTGATGGCCACCCCTGTGAGCACATGTTCGTGCTAGCCTGAGAAAAAACATACGCTCATAGAGATCTCGTCTATAGACACCATAGAACTACCCAAACCCACCATGGAAAGAAAACAAAACACTGCGAACGGCACAGTTTGAGCAAATATGCATTCACGCAAACCGCGGTCTCTAACCATCCCGCGTGTAACTCTCAAATATTGCCAGGTGTGCTATCTTTGGAACCAATACTTCCGCCCGCAAAATAAAATCCCGAAATCATCATTCAAAATACAATCCTTGGGGACTCGACCGGTTTACCTGCTCAAGCAGAGACCAAACACCTGCTCAAGCAGAGACTAAACGTGATGATACCCTACCTGGAGCCGAAGCCCTAAACCCTAACCCTGAACCCTAGTTGTAATCTATCAGAGCGTCAGTCAAAGTAGCAGATGGCAACCTAAACCCCAAACCCCAAACCCTCCTAATTAAGGGTAGGAGTAGCAGCTTAGGCATCATTGATGAGCACCCTAAACCCTAAACCCTAAACCCTAAACCCCTAAACCCTAAACCCTAAACCCTAAACCCTAAACCCCTAAACCCTAAACCTGGGCTTGCGGGCCGCGGGAAGCTGTCGGTGCGCAACACGCTGCAGGGAGGCTTCCGTCCGCTCGGCCTGCCAGGCTCGACTCCAAGAAGCTGGGTTTAGGGTTTAGGGTTTAGGGTTTAGGGCTACTTACTTGGGGTTTAGGGTTTAGGGTTTAGGGTTTAGGGTTTAGGGTTTAGGGTTTAGGGTTTAGGGTTTAGGGGGTTACGTACTTAGGGTTATGGTTCGTGGGGCCCCATTCAGCCTAACACTAGAAATATTCCAACATACTTCAAATTGCGAAACCATTGCAAAGACAATGGGTCGGAAAGTGCAAAAACAATCGGTCCGAAAATGGGCTATGGTTCCGAAAATGCGAAAAATGTGTCATGGGTCCAAATGGGTCGGGATTTTCTCTTGCTTTTTCATAAACATAAAGGCAATCCCAATTTCGGACCCATTTTTTGCGCATGTTCGGACCATTTTTTTTGCCGAAGCCCATGTTCGGACCCATTGCTTTTGCATGTTCATTGTTTTGTTGCAATGTTTTCGCAGTTTTTCTGGGTTACTTGCTTAGGCTTTAGGTCGGCTTTAGGCGATGTATGGTGCTGAGAAACTGCGAGGTGGAGAGGAGGACTGACAGAAATGTCGCAGAGCGTGCCTGTCATGAATTTTCGAGGCAATACCTCATAGCTGTTGCCTGCATTGGGCTACAGGTATATAATACGTCGGCAAGGCTAAGGCTGTCTTCACTCCTCCTTCTCTCCTCTTTCTTATTGAGCTTGAA